ATGAAGTCCTTCATGGACGAGAACCGCAAGTGAGAGATGTGCCGCTTGTCGCCACAGCGCGACCTTGCAGCCTGTAGCCTCTCTCCTCTCTAGGCCGTGGTGCGAGACTGAAGCCTTCATCCACGGCAGATGCCTGGTAGCTGCATTCGAGAGAGCTCTGGAGGACTTTCTCGTGTCGCCAGGGCTCCGATTCAAATTAGGGTGGCATTTATGACCCAAAGTGGGCTTCTGGCAAGTGTTTCTCTTGCAGCGATCGCTTGGGCTACTTTTGTGGTGACTAGCCGCGACCGGAAAAAAAGGTCTGTCAGCTGTTCTGGACCAATGTTCGTTGGCTTTCAATTGGGCAAGGCTTGCATTTTTGCATACCCTGTGCTGGTCGCGCCCGCGGTGTTTGGCTCGAAACCGGTTCATGCTCCCAGGCAGATGGGGTGCAGCCCTGGCAGGTTTGGAGATCCTCGTGCAGTTGGGGTTGGGCCGTCGGGCGCCGCCAGGGGCAAAGTTGTACAAAGAAGCGAACCATCGCGGCCCCCTTGCGTGGATGCTACGTGCTCAGAGGGTTTTCACAGGCACCAGGTCCGAGCAAACGGGCGGCTGCCAAGGAGGTGACGTCACCAAAATGGTTATCCTCTCCGAAAAAGTACTTGAGGCCATGGCCCTCCTGATTTGACATCTTGTGTCCACCTGTCCTATCCGCAGGCCTTCCGCAGCTGGGATGTACAAGGCGTGGCCGGTGCCGTCGGCGACACAGTAGCGGAAAAGCGTTCTCTGAAGGATGCGGCACGATTAGCCGCAAGCAGCTGATCCGCATTCTCCAGAGGCTCCGCGTCATGCAATGCCAATGCAATGCAAGAAAGCACGTCGCTTGAACGGAATTGGGAAGGCTCACGCCCCAAGTCACCGAGTCGGATCTGGAGGCGGGAGTCGAAGAGTCGTCGAAGAGTCGAAGCCGAGTGGAGCGCCGCAGACGCTGGCGGGCTGGGTTGGTCATCTGCAGGTGCTCTTTGTGGCTGCCGGTGCAGACTGTGGCGGTGGAGCACGGGCCCGAACTCAGAAAGGACGACCAGTCGCGCCAAACTTTGTGCATTGCATCTAAAACTACCGCTCACTCTTAATCTGATGTGGAACCGCTGATATTGCTTGACACCACAGGTTCAGCTTCTACTCGGTATGTCGGCCTCTCAGGTGAAGTACAATGACTTCATCTCCTACTTATGGGCTGACGGTCATGGGCCTCGGTATTTCCTGGCACCGGCCTGCTGCGAGCGGATATTGCTCAGGCTCCTCTGCCGAAGATGCGAAGGAGGCAGCTAGAGCGCCGCGCCCCCAGCGGATCTGCGAAACAAGCTGAGAACGTGTGACCCATCTGGACTCTGGACGCCTTCCGCAACATCATGCAACTCTGAATCCATGTCTCCCTGTCCAGGCGGGGACTCTGGGTCACTCCAGCATGCTTCTGCATCGGAGTGGAGACTTCGGACGGGCTCGGCAAAACCTTCAATGAGGTCCGCATCTTTTGGCAACTTGCCAGGAAGATGCTCTCAGAAATGCTAGAGAAAAGACTGCGGGGATCCCAGTGATCTCAGGGAATCTCATATGTGCAGCAGACAGGCTTCGTAGTGTATCGCGAGGCCAAGACTTGGCCCGCTGACAGGGTGGATCGCTATTGGAACGAGGTGCTGGAGCACGATATGTTAGAGCAAGAAGCTGCATGCAATGCACACTTCCACGCCGCACTTTCGTCATCATGCTTGCGCATTCAGGTTGAGACGAGATTGTGGTCAAAGGACTACTTCGATCACGTCGGGCTCTCAGCAAACGACTTTGGGTTTTCAGCTGATGATGGTGCTCCTTGCTGTACGGTAGAGAGACCGAGAGGGTAAGAGTGGCTCCAAGTCACAAGCGGGTGAGGTCAAGACCAATATGTTCGTCCAGGCAGACCAGGACGGTAGTCCGCTCCGGCAAGTAATTACATAGGAGTCACCTGCGCAGCAATGGGCGCAAAGACCCGATGACATGGATATTGTGCCCGGCCCTTCCAAGTCTACCTAGGGTGCATGGAGGTTTGCCCTTGCCGCTTCAAAGGTCGAAGAGTGCAAGTGCTTGAGATTCAGATCTCAGCTTTGGCCCCACATGCGGTGCCCCGGAAGCCGTGCTAGCGTTTGTCTATGTCCCTGAGGCTCCTGAGGTGCTTATTTGCCGTCATCCCCAGCTCTTTGACCAGGACAAAGACGGCAGAGTCAGCTTCGATGAAGCGAGAGCATTGATTTGCAAGTCGCTGCGGTGTGGCTGCCTCAGCATGTCGTTTTCGTTCGTGAAGGCAGACTTACGTACCTGGCCACTTCAGTTTTTATGGCTTGACTTTGTTGCAGCTGTCTCACACCTTGCTGTGTCTGCGTCTGTTTGCCTCTCTTGCTGTCTATCTGTCTGCCTGTCTGTCTTTGGGTGTGTCTGTTCTTCCATCTGTTCCATCCATCCGTTGGTATTCCTCATCGTATACGGACAGGGCCTGGCCAGCTGAGTAAACTTGACGTTTCCCATCCGTCAAAGCTTCGAGGTGCAGCTGACCTAACAAAAGCCCCGCAGCCGACGCAAGAAGAAGTTCGCGTGGACCTTTTCCCCGAGTGTTGCATCTGTGCCGGTGCACATGAGACGCTTGCGAAGGGTCTCTCTTCTTAAGGCCAGGCGTTCGATGCACATGATACGCTTGTTGAAGGCAGGGCCTACGCTGAGAGCGCGGGGGTTGAGGGAGGAAGCTGAGCCAAGTTCTGTGCTACGTCAGGAAGGGGACGAATGGGAGTTGGTGAGCCAAGATCTCAGCTTCACAGCTCTCAAGCATCCTGGGGGCCATATGAGGCCTTCTGTGAATAAGGTTCGTGAATCTTGCACGTTACCTCCAAGCCGAATCCTCATCGGCAGACTTGAAGCTTGTGCTCAAGTTTTCACTTCTTGGAGTGGAACGTTGAACGGAAAAGCAAGGTTATCGTGGCCGAAGCTATGCTTCCTTTCAGCAAGGCCATGTGTTGCCAACACCACGAGCTGCATTTGTTGCATGAAATGAACCCGTCTGCAGGTAGTATCAGGTTAGGGACAAGTCCATCCTGAATGGTTTCACCACTTGAGCGGCGAGCCCTTTCTGTTGCCCTGCTGGGAGACACTGAGCATGTTCAGCACAGGAGGATGTAAATTCTAGTGATGCCTCCGAAAGTGCAGGGCGTTAGATCTCTAGATGTCGCTCGCATGAGAGAAGTTTGCGGAGCCGTCAGGCTTTTGATCATACGCAAGAGCATCGTTGTTGCAGCATGTGTAGCGATCACCTTTGTGGAAGCCCTCTCGCCTCTTCAAGCCTTCGAGCGCGCTCTCTATTCCTGCCAGCGGTGCTGTGGCACGGTTGCGAGACTGTTTCAAGCTGGGCTGGGCAGTTTCTTTCATGTGCTCTCTGCAGCTATGTGCAAACTGCAGGTCCCGACCGTCCTGCCTGACCCCGGCCAATCCAGCAATGCATGCGGAAGCGAAGCTTGCGGTGCCAAGCGTGAGCTGCTCTAGGCAGCCGTCAGGCTCCTCAAAAATCCCGCACGAGCTGGGCGCAAAAAGCAATCGCCACGCCTGCAAATTGGAAGCGTTGTGAAAAGTCCCCCAACCATACAGACACGAAGCCTCCCTGAGCTTCAGGCGCTCCAGGCCTTGCTGAAGAGGATTCAGCGGGACCGTGGCGAGCAGATCAGGCGAGGAATAAGGGCGTTGTGGCGTGCGGAGGGTTCCCCGTCTCCAACCACAACAGGCACCGGCAGCTTGATTCTCAGCGCTTAATCCAGAGGAACAAGAACCTGAAGGCCTGTGATGCGACAGTCCGGAAGCGACCGAATCCGGACTTTCAGCCTATCATCAGGCCGATCTTTACAAGAAACAGCACCTCGAATTCCAGAGGGCTGAGGCGGCGATCAGGTCCATTATGCCGGCCGCTTGGGGCGCCTGCGTGCTGAAGTTGCTGTTGGCACTCGTACCAGCTGAAGTATAAGGTCTCAGCCGGAGCACGCACAAAGGCTGCTGGACGAGCATGATCCCGCTTCGGTGGCCAGGCCATGGCCACGGGCCAGAGTGGTCGCTGTCGAGGGAGTGCGGGGACCGAGGAGTGCGGCGATGGGGGAACTTCCAGCTCTCGGCCGGATCAAGTGGAAGGCTTCAGCTCGCCGAAGCCGAAGCTGGGTGGTTTGGAGCTTTCTTGCACAGGGCCCTTGTCTGCCGGAGAACTACATGCCACCGGGCGGGATCTCCAAGGGCTTGGTTTTGTCCTCAGTTTGCATCTGGCATCTGCAGCTTTCGACACTGCGAGTTCGCATCTGCAAGATCCTGTGCCTAGCAAGACGAGTTGAACGGCAGGTATGCGCAAAAGTCTGAACAACATTTATTGTCGTGTCTCAAGAGACTGAGACCTGTGTGACTACTGTACGGTTTGCATGTCTTGCAAGTAGGTCAAGCTCATAATGAAGCTCACTGATTGTCAGCTGCCATCGCCGCTACTTGCTTGGGCATTAGCATGCTCTCGTTGTCTCTAAGGTGAAGGCGAAGACCACGCCTAGGGCAGACGACAGGCGAACTGAGACAAGTCGAGTCTGAGCAAGTTGACTTCTGGGTCCGTGGGTGGGTTTTGCACGGTATGCCGGCATCGCAAATGTCGAAAAGAGCTGTCAGGCAGACGATGCAAACAAGTGCAAGCGCTGCCAGTGACGCCACGTAGTACCTCCGCGGACATGCTCCCCAGTTGACGCAGCGGGCAACATTTCATCTAGCTAGCGGAGCCGGGTGAGAATCAGAGATCTTCGCCGGAATCACATCTAACCCTCGCTGGTTCTGGTGCATGTCCACGCGAATCGAAAGCTCGTGTCAAAATTTGGGCAAACGGGCTTTTGGAGTGTTTCATTGTCTCACCTGCCACACGGCCAATTGCCTCTACAACCCAACAGATGTAGAATCACGCGGAAGCCGCCATGGCAGCATCAACCCAGTAATGCCCACTGGCGACCCAGTAAAACTGGGGGCGTAAAGCAGTTTGAGAGCAAGGCTGTGCCGTGCTATAAATTGCAGAGTGCAGCCCAGCTCTCAGCTTTTGTAGAGTAGACACGGGGATGTTGACAAGAGTTGAGTTCTGTTTCCATGGGAATGAAGACTCAATGTGAAGCATCTGTAGAAATCTTAAGTTGAAGTTGCAGGTGTGAACGAAATGGACATGCTGCGTGTTCCTGTCAGACACACCCATTGTGGCATCGGACATGGAAAAGAGGCAGCTCTGATGCCACAAAACTGCCCAAATCCGCGAGCTGGCACGGAGTTGTCAAATTCGTTGAGATGCAACACGCGCTGTCGACAAGCTCAGTCCAAACGTGAGACATCGTGAGACCTTCACATACATCTGCAACAGACCGTCGCAAGCCGCGAGATTAGGCAAGTCAGCAGCTCGACCAGTAGCAGAATGTCAGCACACAGCTGCCTGTCTGGTTGCCATGTCATATTCTTTGGCCGTGATTCCCATGGCTCGGCGAGTTACATCTCATGCTGGTGCGCCTCTTGTCGTTGAGGCACGAGGTATTCTTCTTTTGCTTGTCGTTGCCAAGGCAGGGAATCTCATCGAGCACGCGGTGCAGGCAGGCCGGTTTGCCACTTGAGATCAACTTGCAGTGCGCATGGAAGCATGGAGCAAGGATTTCGTAGAGGCGCATTTTCATAGGGAACCCCATACATTGACTGCAAGAGTTTCGGGCATTTCCAGGACGGGTGCTTTGGCCAGCGTCAGGTGACTGTTGATGCGCTCCAGGCTAGTGGACAGGTGATGACAGGTGCAGCTGTGACTCGTCAGACTCATTGATATGCAGGCCACTGCCTGTGGCTGCCTGTACGGAGTCATCACTCGAGGCCCTCTGTTGGTTTTTCTCCGGCTCTCGAGTGCGAAAGAGCTTGAGGCGGTGATGGGGCATGGCAGTGCAGAGCCACAAAGAGGTCCTGTCGAATGGTCCGGACCTTGTAGAAGAAGCCGTCGCAGCTGCATGGCCACGGGCACTGTCCGTGCTTCCTAGGCTGGGGGCAGGAGCTTGCAGGCATGCCCGGGTTTCCTCGGTCCTCACTTGATTTCTTTGTATAATGCTGTGCCTCACGTCCAGGTCCAGCAGAGACATGCAGAAGGATGTCATCGAGCCTCCCTCTCGGCTGGAGCCCTGTCCTCTGGGATGCTCCGCAGCTCTTGCAGAGCGGACCATCCAGGCCTCCGATGCCAACCTTCGGGGAAAGAGTCAAAGCACAAGCACAGGCCGGGCTGGAATGGATTTCTTCGGCTTCCGCATTATCTTTGAATTCGCAGTTGAGGGCCGTTTGTAGCAAATTGATTGAAGAGGGCGGATGGCAGGCCTCGCCCCTTACAGCTCGAACTGCCGGCGAAGACACAGACAGTTCAAGTGGTGGGGGCCACGGGCAATTGTTCAATGGGTCGAACTTGGGGTTGCTGTTGGATGTCGCCGGATGAGGCGACGAAATCTGCTTCTCCGGGAAGCCGTTGTCTGATCCTCACTGGGTCCTCGGGTCCTCAGAGAGGAGTGATCCAAGCAGATCGCGCACTGTCTCGCCCTGAGGCTGGCGTCTGAGCAAGCGGACTCCGTACCGAAGGCAGTGACTACTACCAGTAGGCTAGAGAGCGCATCCAGATCACGAGAGATGAAGTCACAGGCTGAGATAGAGACAGTGTCCGATCCGTAACATTCATTACAGGGCTACAGCAAAAACCACAGCCGTCCGCACAACCATTTCCAACCGCAGGCAAGGGCCCCGGTCAAGCAGGTTACAAGCCCTCGCCGTGTAGTCTTTGCCTGCCCTGATTGGAGTCAGGGGGTCACAGAAGATGCCATGTTGAGATGTGCAAGCATGCACTCGGAAAGAGTGGGGAAGGATCTGGAGAATTGAGGAATTTTTTCATTACCAGAGTGAGAGCGGGAAGACTGTGACTAAGCCCAAGCTGGGAGATACGAAGGGTGACGGTGGGTCAGAAGCTCTTGCCTTGCTCCTGCTTTCGAGAGGCGAGCCTGGGCACTCCTCCGAACACAGAACCCTCCAAGGCTCGTTTTTGAGAAGTGTCTCGATTGGGTCTACGAGTAGCTGTCTGCTGCCAGGAGGCGCGGCTGGCAGCTGTGCGAGCGCGGATGCAGACTTTGGGATGTTCGAAAAAGGAGCGGAAGGCCGGGTCCGCAAAAGACACGAGCGATGCCGCAGCACGCTTGCCGGTGTACGTGCGGTGCTGCCAGGATGCGCAGCAGGACAACTTGGACAGGGGTGACGACAGTGCGAAGTGCATCGAGTTACCGGCCGGCGACTTTGGAAGTGGCCCGGACGTCTCGATGCTTCCATCCAGCGTCTTTGAAAAGCCCAAACGGGTGGATGAACCTGGGACGGAGGCCGAGGCCCCTCACAGAGGTGACAGACCCAGGTCAGGTGTCACGAGCGAGGGCAGTGAGGACGAGCCCCAGGAGCACAATCAGCGGAGCTGGTGGGCGCAGTTTTTCCGGCTTAGGCTACTTCAAACACCTGGAGCTGCCAGCCTTTGCGTGCCTTTGGCCCGGATGGGTCTGCAGGACACTGGATGTTTGGTGCCCTACACACGTGTGTTGCGTGTGCACTGCCTTTTTGCGTTTTTCTGGGCTGAGCCTTGGTTTGGGACCTTGGGATGCCGTGCCCTTACGAGAACTGCCGGATGCTTCGCCCGACGGCCTTTGTTGGATGATTCATGCAAACCTCTCTTCTGCGTCATGTATGAACTCCTTCTGGTTTCTTCGCCCATTTGCTGGTTGTTGCTAGATGTTTATCTGTCGCATCTCGTTGCCTTGTGCTGAATGTTCTGCCCTGCGACCTGTGGCATCGCTCCCTCTTGTTACACAGCTCGCGACTTACACGGCAACGCGGCAACAGAAGAAGGCATGAATCTACTGCAGATGAGAGCATCGTGTGTAGTCGTCCATTGGATCTTGGCTAGGCTGCAACTTGCATGTCCAGCTATTTGGGGTCTTCGGAGGTACTAAGTGGGTATCTTGCGGAGAGCATGGCTGGTAATGGAAATATGAATATGTATATATATATATGTATGTATGTATGTATGTATGTATGTATGTATGTATATATATATATATATATGTATGTCTATGTCTATGTCTATGTCTCTGTATATGCATATGTATAGAGGCATAGTTCTGGTATGATATATATATATATCTACACATCCATAACTATCAGTCTGTGTGTGTGTGTGCGCGTGCAAAAAGACCTTGAGCTCCGATGTCAGAGTAACTCAAGCTTTGTTCGTGCAGTCTGCAGGATACAGATCTTCCGTCGGTAACGGCCAGCCTGGACCGGCTGCTCGAAGACCTGCGTGGTGAGCGGCTTGACACGCTTGCCGAAAGCAGCGAGAGCCTGCACCGGCCACCTGTACGTGCTCTGCTCGAAATAGACCTCTCAGACAACAGCATCTCCGATCCCGGCGCTGTCTTTCTCTTCCGCTGGCTCTTGCGGCGTCGCAAGGAGGTCCGGTGTCGAGCCATCCGCTTGGCTCGCAACAAGTTGGGAGATGCTTCGATGGAGTGGCTTGCAGCCCTGATCTGTGCGCAGCACTCTGCCATCGAGGAAATCCATCTCTCACAGAACCGCATCACAGGTTCTGGTGCGCCTCAGCCGCCATGCTGTTGGGGCTGACGAGGAGAGTTGGTGTAGAGTAAAGCTGGAAAGCAGGGGCCTAACAGGTTAAAAGATGATACAGCAGGGAGGTGAGAACTTTTTTTTATTCTCCTTGCAGCTGAGGCCGGGCAGCTTCTTCTCTCGTTGGCCTTGCATCCCTTCGAGGCCTATCCCTGGCTGGACAAACCTGGCCTCTTTGCCCCTGCTTGGGTCAGCCTGGACCAGAACAATGTCCAGGAGTCTGCAGGTCTGCTCGGGCGTCTGCGGCTGCGCGCAGGCCTACGTGCCGTCTGCACTGACGGTCCGCAGCGGAAGTCCAGCTTCAATGAGGCACCGCATGTGCAGCTTGGTAGCAACTTTCTGAGCTCCGTTGCGTCGCGCTCGAAGCCATCCGTCCTGCCGCTGGCGTTGGAGAAGGTTTGTCAAGGAGGCTCCTGGCCACCTTTGCCTGAAACGGAGAAGCCGCTGCCGAATCTTCCGCGGACAACCTCTAAGTCGAGTCTCTCTCTGATGGCACCTCAGACTTTTCGCAGGGAGCTCCTGGTGGACGAAGAAGAAGGGGCCGGCCTCCACTTGGAGACCGTGACTGAGGGGCTGAAGATTTGTGAAATCGCAGAGGTTCCGGGCCAGCCTGGCCTCCGCACTGACGACATCATCGTCGCAGTCGACGGCTTGCCTTTGTGGTGGTCAGCCTGCGAGCACGACCCCAAGGCCAAGGCTCCGAGGCAAGAAAGTGAGGATTCCGAAGTAAAGGATGCCGAGAGCGATGATGATGCCCCAAGCGCCCGCTTCCGGGCTCGGTTTCGGCGTGGTGCGCGCTTAGACGTCTTCCGACAGAAGGCCCCCGAAGCTGCGCCAGCGCCCATGCGGCAGCCCATCCTGAGAGCGCAAGTCGGGTCACGGCGTGCTGCTCGTTTCTGCTGTCCCATCTGCTGGGATTCCTTTGACCGCTGGAACGATTGCTTGCAGCATCTGCGTGAACTCGGGCATGAGCCAGAGCCACCTCCGGACCAACGGCGCGAAGAAGCAGCTGCTTGTTTGCGGAGGTGGATGCCGGCGCCTGAGCTCCGGCTAGATTCTTATCGCAGGATCGCAGGAGACAGCTTCACATGCAGTAGGAGTCTGCAGCCCTCTTGTTCGTGCAAAGGGTTGCAGGAGCACGCCGCAGCCAGGGTATAGCAGGACGCTGTCGGTTTACGATACAGGCTTCAAGATGGTGTGCCAAAGCAATTCGGTTTTTTTCTCCTGTGTGGGGGGGGGGGGGGGGGNNGGGAGGCAAGGATTTTGTGTCCTTCCGGTGAGATGCGCCGCACACCTTCGGAATGTTGTTAGGTTGCAGACCTGACTAGCAACATCAGTCTCCATGTCCAGGCACTGAATTAGGAGGGCTAGTTGGGGGTTTTTGGCACAAGCATCATGCTGTCAAGAAGTGTGTGCTAGTTTTTTGCCCTCTCAGGTCAACGTGCATGTCGGCCGCTCGAGGTGAACTGCCACGACCAGCCGATGTCAAAGCCGAGGCCACGCGGATGCCAAGTCTTCCTGAGGACAAGGCTGAGACGGAGACGCTGCTCCTTCCCGCGCCCATCGGGTTTTACGGACAGCGCAATCGTTCGGTGATGGAGTCTCTCGCAGAAGAGATCTCCCGCTTCGGCTCTGAGCATGGCTGCGCAGTCTGGATGCTGCCGGATGGGTTGCGAGCGCAGTGCCCGCAAGGCCCCGAGGCTGCAAGCAAGATTGCTTCTATAGCTGCCGACTTACTCGAGATTCTGCACTTCTACCTCCCTGACGTGGCTGACAATGCTGATGACGGCGCTGGCTTCGCACCTATTCCGGAGGGTCGTGAGTACGCAGTGGAGTGGGCAGATGACTGGGCCTCGTGGCTTGAGCATATGCTGCAGCAACAGGCAGAAGAGGCTCGAGGGGCCGAAGTGGCAGAGATGGCGGAGGCGGAAGTCGCAGGAGCATCGCTTTTGCGAGCTGAGGCGCTCCCGTTTGTGCCACAGCAGGCCGTGGATCTGGCAGCCTTGAGGTTGCTGGTTTTGTGTGGATTGCCAGGAAGCGGCAAGAGCACTTTAGCACAGCGGCTTGGAGGGAACTGGGTGGTCGTAAACCAGGATTGCCTTGGCTCCCGGCAAGCTTGCATGAAGGAAGCTCGTGCTGCCTTGAGGCGGCCGAATGGTCGCATTGTCATCGATCGATGCAACGTCAATGTGGCGCAGCGGGCAATTTGGACACAGCTGGCGGTCCAAGAGTTTGACTTGGAGCCTTGTCAGATGGGTTGTGTTTGGCTCGATGTGCCTGATCACGAATGTGGTCGCCGGGTGCTGCGACGCTTTGCCCACAGTTTCTTGGCTAAAAAGATGGATCGATTGAGTGCAGTGGTCTTCCTGACAAGCTCCCGCCAAGATACACTTCCACCGCGTGAGGCATCTCTGAAGGCAGTGAGCGACATCCGAACATTTAAAGGTCACAAGATGTTCCGCCTGATTGTAGCCGCGACGCAGGTAATCCGTGGCTTTGCGAAGAAGTGGCAGGCACCATCAGCGGAAGAGGCGTGGTCCAGCAAAGTCCAGCCTTGTTATCGAGCTTTCGCTTGAGTGTTCCTGGTGCCAGGGCTTCGCGCACCTTTGGCGCATTGCATCTGAAGTGGATGCAGAGGCATGCCGAGTTCACTTGTACGTAATAATGGGGCGGCTTACAAGTAAGCAGATGCTTGAAACTTGTCTGGTTTGGAAGTTTGTTGGGTTGCCGCCATCAAGTGGACCCGCGGTCTCATCGCCGCCCTTGGAAGTTTGCAGTGTTGTCTATTGCGTCTTTTGGTTTGAATTGTAGTGCGCTCTTTGTCGGATGCATTTGCCTGCTTCCTCCTGGATTCAGGTGTTTTGGTCGGAGATGTCGGCTGCTGGCCAACTGCTTCCGGACAGTCGCGCCAAGGACGGGAATATCTTCGCCTGCAATTCTCAGTGCCAAGGCTTTCCGAGATCGCCTGGTCGACGTTCGCAGGGAGAGGGTCAAAGCGATTGCCAGGAGCCGGAAAAGCCCGTTCAAGTGCTTGGAGCCACTCCCGAGTCCACTCCTCTGCGGAAGCTGCGAAGAAGGGAAGTCCTTTGAGCAGAGCCCATCTGGAAGGTTTCTGGCGCCGCCTTCGAGAGAAGCTCGCGCTCAAAGGGAGCCCTCCACCGAGGAGGCGTGGCTGCCCCTCCCTGCAAATTGTGAACTTCGCTGTGTCTCGTGAAGGGAGCCATGGATGCAAAGCCTCGGCCCCCTGGCTCACGCCTCGGTGGAGGGAAGAACTCTGCGGAAGAATCTTAACAAGATCCTTCGGACCTTGCCTCCTGTGAAGAGAACAGTCTCAATCGGCGCAAAACTATGATCCCTCCTGGCCACACCCCGCAGACAAGCACAAGGTGCCGGTAAACCATGCTCAGTGCCGTCCCAGATGGCATGTTGATCAGACCATTGAATGGAGATTGTTGCATGAACTGTTCGGAGCTGGAAAGCAAACTGTGAAGCGATACAGCACCGACGCAGCTAGGCATAACTGTTTATCTGTGGCAGGCAACAGTGAAATCTAGAGGAATTAGGACACGCCACACATCCCTCTACTTCAGAAGTTCAGCCAAGTCCGAGATGAAGATGTATCTCCGACTCCCCGAACCACACCTGCACAACTCACGGAAGAAGGAGCTCTGCCCAGCACGATGTCGCCCAACGCACACCTCGTAACAGTGCTTCAATTTCTCGCAAATGCGAAGTCTTCGCTCGACCTCAGTGGTCTCATTCTCACAAGAGCTGCTGCTGCTTCGGTTGCCGAGCGCTTTGATTGCGCTGACAACGAAACCGCATCTGATGCTGCATTCTCGTTGACACTCTGGTCAGGGGGGCAGAGTTGTGCGTAGGTGGGCATCTTTATCTTTTGTTCGCCCTCTACTCCTTGATTCGTTCTCGCATTGAGCCTGCATTGGCAGGCCTTCCTCAGCTGTCTCATTTCTGGTTAGCATGTGCCGGCCTGAAAATGCCAATACACCCAGGACATTTTATGTGCCAAGCCTCCGCCACATTCGAGTGAGTCGCAGTGTTGTTCTGCGCTAGATTCACTAGATTGACCTCAGCGAGTCGCCCCACCCTTTCCCTGCTGCGCTTTCTTTCCCTGAATTTCATGGATCCGTTTCGCGCGGTTTGCACATCTTTCTGAACTTATCTCTGATCTCTTTGAAGTCTGCTTCAATCGAATGCGCCCTTTTCTCAACTTTCTTAGCCCCTTTTCAGGCGCATTCGCTGACTTTTATCAATTGCTAGCTCTTTTTCTAAGACTTTTCACCCCGTTGTGGACTTTCCTCAACTTCTCTAGTCAAGTTCTTTGAGGCGTCTTGGCTCCCCTTCCTCAACATCTACATTCCCTATAGCAATTTGAAGTCTGTCTCGAGCTCTCTCGTCTCTTTCCCACGGTTTGCGCTCTCTTTTTCCCAGCTGCTCTCACCACACTTTCAGTGTTTGCTGCCTTTCTCCAATTCTATCGCCCTTTTTCGAGTGGGCTGCTCCTTCTGACAATAGCAATACTTGAACGAACTGCGCTCAACTGTAACTTCTCTAATCTCTTTCCGTGAGTGAGTGAGTGAGTGAGTGAGTGAGTGAGGGAGTGAGTGAGTATCGACCTGGGGTGTTCTTCGGGCTGGAGACGCGTCCCTTCACTTTGCCCTCGAAAATCAGGGCCCCTCAATCCCTGAGTTTTAAGGGAAGGTTTTAGGGCCGCTCGGTAGGCCGACACCATGGATGGCATGTCTTTTGTCAACCCTGGAAACAGCGCCGATGCCTACCTTGCGAGCCTACGGACGTATGTGCAGCTAGCAGGACAAAGCAGACAAAACTGCAAATGTATTCCGAGCCGCTATACGATTGGTGCATGTTCGATGCCGGGGACCAAACCTCCAGCCGAACTCTTCTCAGTCACGATATGCCTCGAAACGACTGCTTTCTTTGTCACTCTGCGTCCCAAAGAATCCTCTCCAGATGGGTTAGGACAGCATCAAAGTCGCCCTCCAATTCATCCCGAAGCAACTCCAGGAAGGCTTCGGTTGGGTGGTTGCCCCAAGCACTTGCACTCCACTCTTGCACCTTGTTCTCAACTTCTCTAGTCCCTTTCAGGCCTGTTTTCTCAGCGGTTTGAAAAAGCGCTGATCCCTTTCGCGCAGTTTGCTCTTCTTTCTCCATCTCAGCCTCTTCCCCTCGGTTTGCAATTTTTTCACAGTCTCGGGCCTTTTTCCTTTCGGTTTGCGCCTTTGCCTCAATTTCTCCAGTCTCTTTCGAGCGCTTTGGGTTGAATTCTCGGGTCTGTTGTCGAGTCGTTAGCTGCTCTTGCTGCTCCTTCTCAAATTCTCCAGCCCTTATCGAACAGTTTGCTCGAAAAGGCGTGAGGGCCTCGGGAGCGCTTTGCTATGGTTTGCTGCTTTTTTCTCAGACTCTTTGTGAGTTCGAGCGGTTTGCCCAGCATTTGCAACTTCTGTTGTCTGTTTGCGCGGTTCGCTCCTCTGTTCGGGCCGGTTTCGTCCTGTTTCTCAACATGCTTGTCGTTTTGCCGGGATCCACCGGCTGCAAGGCCTGCCGAGGTCGCTCGCATATGATGACATGCTCGGTGACACCCTCCAAGCCCCCGCTGATGATGTGCCAAATGGCTTCGATGAACAAGCATCAAGAAAGATTGGGTACAGCAAAAATACCAGGCAGTGGCAAAGGTGCGATAGCACAAGAGCGGAGGCAAGGTAGGATGCATGTTCACTGCAGTACGTACAGCAGGTGCGAACAGAAGAAGCGCGCGGCCGCCTGTTGCCTCATGCTGGAACGTCGCATGCGAGGTCGCTTCCAGCTGGAAGAAGCTGCAAAGACGATGGCGGCACATGCCGCGCCTGCTCCGCGGCCGGAGGGCAAAGGGCTCGGTTCCGCCGATTTGACCTGCTGGATGCCCTTCTCAGCTCCTGCAGGTGGCAAAGTTTTTGAATTGCGTCCAGCAGAGGCAGTTCTGGGTCGCGACCTTTGCATGTCTACATTGCAGCAAGAAGCTGCCAGGAGGCAAACTGCGCCAGTCCGAGTTCAAGGCCCGCTGCGGCTCCGTCTTCGCACCTGCCACTGCTCTGCGGACCACAGGACCAAAGAGGTTGTGCTGGAGCCCGCTCAGCTGGATAGTCCAGGCCAAGCTGTGGAGTGGATCACATTGAATGTGCGGCTGTTCATGTCCGGAGGATGCGGTGCGGATTTCTGGCGTTTGCCGATGGGTTCACGGCCAAAAGCGAAAAGACAGCCATTTTTTACAATCGAAGTTTCGTCAAACGCCGTGGCGGTGGCAGGTAACGACCAAGAGCTCGACGCAGAGGGCTACTCTGGGGCAAAAGCTCCAGAAGGCAAGGAGAGCGGATGGATGAGATCTGCGATCGTTGCAGCTGGTAGTCCAGCAGGAGACGATGCTGCAGCAGCATCAGCAGCGTCATCAGCGATAGCAGCATCAGCGGCAGCATCAGCGACAGCATCAGCAGCAGCAGCATCAGCAGCAGCGGCCGCAGCAGAAGCCACCGCAGCAGCAGTAGCAGGCGAGGTTGCACACACCGAAGCTGCCGAAGAAGCCGAACCAACAGGACCCTTGCTGTCGGGAATCTCTGAAGTCTGATTCATGCAGCCCTGACCTGAAGCAGCCTGAAGCCGCAGGGGGTGGCATCGACTTCTGGCGGCTGCCAATGTGCTCCGGCTCTACCTTGGAGGAGCCACGCGCTTAGAGACTATTTGGGACGGAACTTAGAGAAGTAGTAGTTGTAGTCTTTCGGAGCTAAGGCTGTCGGATGACTCCACGACCTGAAGCGAGAGTTTTAGACAGGCTGACAGCCACTGCTAGCGTCTTTGGTCGAGCGGTGAGTTGTCGGCTCGCGGCAAACGGACAGATGGAGGAACTTCTCCGAATTTTCATGGACCGCGCGTCCATCCCTAGACTCGTAGGCTTCTTAGGTCAACAAAGGAGCGGCCAGCAGCCAAGCCGGACAGCACGAAGTGCAGGTTTTAGCAAAAGCCAGCGGTTGGCCCCGGTGTCCGTGGCTCAAGCCTTATAGCAGGAGAGATTCCAGCAAAGCGCTGGTCTTCCATGGGTCTAAACTACTCCCAGTACCAGGCACTCAAAAGATTTTCCGCGCTGCTTTTTCTATCTCTTTGGTGTCAAGGTGCGGCGGATGCCTTCTCATGCCCTCCTGCTGTGTCTCACGCTGGCCGTGGCTTCCGGAGAATCCGAGGAGCGGAGTGTTGAATCAAAGTGCAGCTTGTTGGAAACAAAGAGACCGACACGGGGGGAATTGCGATGCTCCGATATGTAGAATGTCATGACCACAGACACCAAAGATACCAAACGAATCGCTTGAAAGCGGTAGAGTTGATCAGTGAACCCTGCAGAGGGTCCAACTCCAGACGGTTTCAGCTATAGGCTATAGTGCAACCTGGAGACGGTGTTTTCTGCAAACTCCTGACAGAGGCGGTGTCTGCATCCTCCTCACACTGGTTGAGGCCGGAAGTCGGAAGCTTGCAGTGGATTGTGGAGAGGGCCAGAGTCACCTGGTCATCCATGCCTGCAGGAACATCAGTGCCCAGCGTCTGCATTGCCAGACCCGAAGTTAAGCCCCGCCGGTAAAATCAGACCCCCTCCCCAACTTCCAAAGACGCGGCCTGCATCTCACACTGGCCTACCTAGCTCCGCCACGCTGTTTTCGTCAATGGCAATGGGAGGCGGGAGCAGGGCGCGAAAGCGGAGCAAGGAGCCTCCGCCGCTGAAGGACCCTGTCTGTCTCTTGCATTTGCTTGCATAAACGTGGCTTGCACCCGCTCGGAGGACAGGCAGCGAAGTCAAAGAGATACACGCAGGCCGGTCACAACTGGCCTCCTTCGGGCTGAAGCCGCATTTTTTCGAGGTCTCAGCTGCAGGGGCCCTCAGCTCCCACGAACTGGAGGCCCCTAGATCCCTTTGGTGGAACTGCGGATTGAAGTGGTAGTACTCGTAAAGAGGCAGAGCTTGCCAGACTCGAGAAGCCACGACAGTTCGGCGGGGATCTCGGCACATCCTTCGACCATCCTCCCTGCACCTTCGTCGAAAGCCAAGGTACCCTGGCGGAGCTCGAAGCGGCCGCAGGAGACAAGCTGAGGAGCTTAAAGGGACATCATTGCATGACGAGAAGAAGTACTGTACTGAGAAAGAAGCGCTGCAGCCCTGGAAGGATGTGGCAAGTCCCGCTGACGGATGCCACCGGCCAGATAGAGGCACGGCAGGGCATGACCACGAGGGAGGCTCAGTGCGATCAGTGATCCCCTGTCAGAGCGTGGAGACCATCTGGACACAGCAGGGCGATACCGGGGCGGCGCTCTCAGAATCTGTCTGTTGCTTCTTTCACATAGCGCTGGGCTTTCGACGGCAAGCTGTCATGACTCTCGCGCTGCCCAGCCTGCGGGAGAAGCTGGCACAGTGGGCGTCCAGGGCCCACCAGGCCCGCCTGGACCGCTGGGCCCCCGGGAGCGCACGCAGCGAGTCGCGAGTAGCGCGTTACGTGGTGGGAGCTCGAGGCCCGGAGACGACAGCACGGCTTCCATCGACATGGCAGACTCTGTGGGGCCGGAGGGGCAACGCTCTTAGACGCTCTTCGATGCTCGGCCACGGCTGTTGCATGAGTCGTCTGACTGTAGGCCACCCGGCCGGGCTGGATCAGAAGGCCAGGAGTCGCTTGTCAAAGCATCGTCAGAGGGAACGCTCTGTCTGAGGTGACATCGGAAAGCCCGGTCCGCAAGGAGACCCTGGCCCTGCAGTTTCCTTAAAACCTCAGGGGCCAAACGGACATGACCGCGTCTGATTGGTCTGTCAGGTTGGTCCCCCAGGCTCGATGCCAGCTTTCCGATGAACTTTCGAGACGGAGAGCCAGCAGTTCTTATCTCTAAAGGGTCCTGAGCCCTTTTGACCTGAATCCGTAGTCCTTCCTGCTCCTCTGACAGGCAGGCAGGGGGAATTCAGCGACGAGCAGAAGGCTGAGTTCGTCAAAGGCCTCGGATGGCGGCCATGTGTGCGGATTCGTCCCTCATCATCTTGTTCACGCGAGCCCCTGTCAGATTATATATTTTTATATTATAGCATCACCATCGAATAGGCATTTACCGCCCGTGTCCGGTGCGTTTCTTTGTGGATGACGGTGATGATGGTGGTCAGGATGCTGATGATGATGAGGATGACGAAGGGATGACGATGATGTGGAACCAGGAAGGTATTTCGAGTGTTCGCAAGTTGTTTAGCCTGGACATCGCAATGGCCAGTTCCACCGCGCTCGTGGTTCGATACCTCACAGTTACGGGCTAACATTTCCTGACCGCCGTCCCCTTTTCTCTTCGAATTTCTGGACCTGTGCCATGTGCATCCATTGCCAGTTCCGATCCTCGGCCTCAACGAATCCTAAAAGTTCTTTGGGAAGGTCGAGCTACTCGTAGCTTGCAGTCATGGCAAAAGGGAAGTTTGCGGGGATGTGCCGGACTCGACGCACTGGTGCACTTGCCTAAGCGGGGAATGATTGCAACGATTACGAAGAGGAAGAAAATCAGACTGTAACGATTATTGCAACTGTTGCGAGTAATTCAAAGGGACAACGCGGCATTCTTGGCCGTCGATCTAGGAGCAATGGTGTCGTGGTCGTAATGCTTGGTCCAACTCGATCCTTCGCTTGTGCAGTTGTGCGGCAGCTGAACAAAGCCGTGAAGCATGCGGTCCGTCAGCCATGGTTGCCATGCTTTCTTGCCGACTTCTTATGTTGATGCCGACACCAGACTCGTGTAAGTTGTGGCCAGGCAGAGATGGACATGATTGAGAACACAGTGCTGAATCGCAGGCCGCGGCAGCCCATGCATTCAGGTCGTTTTCATGCCAGACCTCCTGTCCTTATGTCGTAAAGGCTCCAAAGGCTGAAGCAGCACTTCTTGAAAATGCAGGCTCTGTGAGTTCCAATGGCATCATTCAGAAATCTTCGCATGACCCGCCAGGCTAATTTGACAATGGCGGAGCACATACTGATGGAGCAGACAAAGCAGGCGATCTCCTCGAGAGTGTTAGTTTAGGAACAAGTCTGTGCCCAACGGACACGATTGCAGGTCGAATGGAAGGTCAAAAACTTCCTGAAGACGGACGTCAAGGTAAACAAGACCATTGCAGCTGCCAAAAAGGTAAAGGACTCCTGCATGACTGGGAAAAAGCAACAACAACAACCTATCAGTGGCTGTCTAGCGATGCTTCTGACTTAGTCCAGGTGTTGCGACGCCTGCAAGAGTGGGTTTGAGCCATGTCGAGAGGACACTGAAATGAAGATTCTGGCCGAGGAGGAGAAAGTGAAGGACGAGGTGAGCAGGATGTTTGGACCTTCAAACCTGCGGTCGCCTTGTTCACCTTGCCTTGTACTGGCTGCAGATTGTGGAAGCCACGGCGAACGAAGCTAGCCAAGCAGAGCAGACCGTCACCGATACGATGACATCGCAATCCCAAGGCCGATCATGTTTGCAGCCACCCGCTGTCAGCTTCCAGAAGTCATGAAGCGACTCGGCAGGTGCCTGACGACTGCAAGAGGAGATGCTGGCATGGGAGCTGGTCTTGCCATTTCGAGCTGCAAAACAAAGCTTGCATGCGACAGTTCCTGAATGAGTGGAGAAGGTTGGTGAATGTGCTGCATGTGCTGCCATACTAGCGGCAATTGTTACTTCGGCAGACATAGAAGCGGATCAGGCGAATTTTGTAGCAATGGGCAGCATGCGCAGCTTCCTAGCAGCTGTGGCCTTGCAGGCACGGGTACTTCAGACGTAACGTATGATGAACGTGACAGCAGCCACGTCGACCATCTGTCGCGGGATAGCTTCCAGTACTCTTCTGCCTGCTGGCAGCCGCTAGACTCGCTAGAGAGTTCCTTATCGCGCATCACCAGAATTCCTTCGTGTGGAAAGGAAATCAGAACTGCTTAATTGAGGGAGAGCGAAGCTGAGTTTCCGAAGCCGAGGTACCGACTGTGTGATTTTAGCCCGGACCGACCTGCAGCCCTGCACAGCCACTTCTACCGGCTTGTTCAAGACCAAGCCTGCTACAGCGCGCTATGATCGAGACCTGTAGATGAAAGCGCACTGAAGACGTGCGTTACTGCTCCTCCTGTCCAGCTTACCATGCTGAACATCACCGACGCAGGCATCGGGTGCTTTTGCCTTCACGGCGCTTCGAGGTGCCAGCTCGGTGCCGCTTCGTTCGAAAGCTGCCTTTGGACCGCAGGCAATCTGCAGACAAGCCAGCTCACGCTCACAACTGCCGATGTGGGCAGGAAGGCCAGAGCTGCCCGAGTCTCCGCACCCCGTCCACACCTTGCATCCGTCGTCGCTCAGGCCGATGCCGGTGCCGAGTCTTCGTCGCTTCCTGGAAGTGTGTCCGGTCTCCGGTGCTGTGGAAAAGACAATGTGCAGTCACTTGTCCCACCGCCAAGGTTTGCCTGGGCGGCCTGCGGAGTGCTGGGTGCAGCAGCAGCTCATCGCTTCAATCGCAGGCTAACCTAATCGTCAGCCGTCAGCTGCTGGTACTGAACAGCCGTTATTGCCAAAACCGCGGAGTCCGTAACATGCGTAAGATGCGTTGCTTCTGTTCCCCAGAACGGTTGGAACAGTGCAAGGGAGCGCAGCCGGGCATCTGCGAGCCCAGTTGCTTGCCGAGCACGGCCCCCAAGCTGACATCTAGTGGTGGGTCTTCAACTGGCACATGGTCATCCATTTTGGCTGAGGCGAACCCTGTTGCCACGTGCGAGACTTCCATGGGAACGTTCAAGGCCCGACGCGTCGTCCGCAGATTGTACACGAGGTGCCAGCTACCCTCAGCAGTACAGAGCCCTGCATCACACGGTTCCAACATCCGCATTCATGGTCGCTCGACATGCAGGTGGAGCTGTACATGGACGAAATGCCTCTAACTGCCTCCAATTGGATTGATTTGGCTCTCTGGCACGACAGATCATGGCATTTCGGGGGAGGGTTGCAGTTCACTCCTAATGTGGTTGCAGCATGGCATCACATAAGGCGAAGACCGGGTTCTATGACGGAATCCACTTCCACCGTGTCGCACGAGGCCCAGGTAGAGCCGCACCAACGTCCGGGGAAATAGAGCATACCATGTTTTTCTGTTTGGACACCGAGATCCCCGGATTTATGTGCCAGTTTGGCTGCCCGTGCCTGTCTCAGCACATCTCCAGAGCCTCATAGAGCCCCTCCAGAGCCTCCAGCCTCCCGCTATCTGAGTGAGGAACGCGAAGGATCCTCGAAGCCCCAGGGCTGGCACCGGCGGCCCGGAGGATGGAAGCTTTGAGGACCCGCAGAGAGACCAGCTTGTGCTCATTGAGTCTGCGAAACATAGCAGGTCCTGGATGGTTCCGGCCGGCAGGCTCGCCGCTCAAACGGAGGCTGCGCCCATGGTCTCCTTGAGTTGTTCGTCGTTTTGCAGCTGTTGCCGACAGGGAACATCGAGGATGAATTTACTGCCAAGCTTGGCAACGAGCCGGGCACACTGCCACTTGGAGCCACGAAGGGCGGACTGCGCGCTTCAAACAACAAGGCATGCCTCACACCGAGGTCCATGGCCAACACAGGGCGCCCCAACTCCGGCGGTTCGCAATTCTTCATCAATGTGAACAACAACAGTGGACTGGACAAGTTTCCCGTTTTCGAAGAACGTGAAGCTTGTGAAGGGAGCCTTGCCAGGCTTCTTGAACTGGTTCGACCGATCTTCGCCATCGGCACATCCGGTGTTTGGCAAGGTTGTTGAGGGGTGCGCTCACACATGCCGTGGAGCTGTGTAGGATAAGGATGCCAACGTAGAGTAGGAGGCTCTCTTTGCAGCTGACACTGGTGACACACTGGTGACTAATACTCGAAGTTTCTCACTTGTGGGAAGCTAGATGTGCAGCAGGTACGACCTCATCGAAAAAATCTCCCAGGTGCAGACGACAAACGCGGGAGTCCAAGCTTGACAACAGATATCAGTGCGAGTTTTTATGTTCTCTCGCTCGGAGGACTGCCCGGATGAACCGGTCCAGATGATCAAGATCACCGTTGAGGGAGCATAGACAAGCCCCCGAGTTCTTAAAGCAGGCGGGTGCGCGTGCACCCCCAGACCTGCGGTAGGCCACGTGCATCGTGCATTATGACTTATCATGCCGAATACTGTAGGAATTCTGGACCTCAGACCACCTGAGAGAAAGAGGATCGACTGGCGGATGCAGGCTACACGACCTGCTGGCGGGTGGACCCAAGTGGCTAGAATAGCTCGGTTGGCTAGTGGATCTCGACTTGATTTGAGGCCACGGGCTCAAGCTCAAATTGAACAAAACTCTAGACGATCCAGCCAGCAGTTGGCGTTTCTGGTGAAATCACGCTTGCAGCATCTTGCAGCGTTCCCAGGAAAGGTACATGCGGCGTTGACATAGGCCTCACGGAATCCAGAGCACACCCACAGCCACTTCAGCCTGCCGAGCGCCGTCAGCGAAGTGGCAGGAGGAGAATGCCTAAGCACGGTCTGGCCGGCCTGTGCTTCGTGGCTTGAAGTCCCGGCTCTGGCACACGAGATAACAGCTACCTATGGTGCTTTTGCAGCGTCAATCGTGATGTGATGTGTCTTCGTTTGTCGGAGAGGAGATTCAAGTACCACATCAGGCAATGCACGCAGCTAACGGCCGGAGCATGGCGATACATGTTGTGTAGTGACGTCGTGTCTGCAAAGGTCCCGCATGCTGCATCATGAGCTGTTGAGATGTCCGCCAGGTTGTTGCCTCGGCTCTCCGCCGAGCGGCCGGAGTCTTGTTGAGGCAAGCTCAGTTGTGCAACCGGAGGGTTGCAAGGAACTGAAACTGGTATCCTGGAGGCGCGCCGGGCTGAGGACCTGAGCTGCTTGCCGAGGGAGCGCAGTCGAAGTCCAAGCCAGGGCCCCAGCACTTGATGTTTTGGGAAAGGCACCATGATCAAAGACTCCGAGGCAGGAATTGTCAGCCCAGCCTGCTGTCAGCCGCGCCCCGAGCGACCTGGCGAGTGAGCGAATCCAGCAATCCAGCAATCCGGAGGTAGCTTGCCCAGAGACAGATGCCGACCATGGCCCCTTAGCATGCCTGCCGTGTTTTGGAGCAGGATGTGAGAGCTTTTCTCTAGCTCTCGCTTGTGCCAGGCGGACGGCCTGCTTCCTCTGGCAGTTTGCAGAGCAGTGACGCGAGTCATCTGGTCTGCTGCCAGGGCACAGGTCAGGTGGAGTCGCCGTGCAGTTCGTTTGTCTCCCTGTCCTGGCGCCATGTCACAGGCAGAAGTTGATCATGCTGAGAAGCAAGGCCGAGTGCGCTCGGATGTCATGGAAGAGCGGGTAAAGCTTTCTTCCACAGACTCGGAATGGTGGTACTATCTCGTAGCAACAGCATCTCCACGGCCCATCTCTGCAAGCATTGGCTACGGGAGCGATTTGCACCAATGTCTTCTCCATGCAAGAAAGGTAGCCCAGCATCACAAGAGACTGGGTTGAGGAAGTACGTCAAGGATAAGCTCTGACCAGCTACAGCTCGGCTCTGCGACAGCTAGGCTTCGTTGCCAAAACACGGAGGGTTTCCAGCGATTCCAGCGCTGCGATGGAGGATCTACAAGCCGGTGTTCGTAAGGCAGCGGATTTGAAAACGACAGCGCAAAGAGCAGTTGCCACTAAGCACTTACTTTTTGCTTTCTTGTCATCAGTCTCTGCACACCTGAAGGCCAAGAGCCTGCAGATGGACCCCCAGCCACTCAGAGCAGCAGCCGGGCGGCTGAAGTCACAGGTGCAACGAAAAGATCTCTCCTCACAGTTCCTTTGAAGCGGAACTCGCTTTCTGAAGGTCGACTCCGGCCGCCTTCCAGGCGCCATGACTTGTGCAGTCAAGGACCGAGACACTGTGGCGGACCTTCTCGGGCGCACAGCGAGGCTAAACAAAAAGTCTTGACTCAAGGAGGGTCACGTCATCCACTTCGAGGCACACGGTGAAATGCACTGCCAGCTGATTCCCACTTTCGGATTAGATCCAGACGCGTTCTCCCGCAGGCCCACGGTTTTTCAGACCTGGCCGGCCAAATGGCCATGAACTCTCGGACGCTGTTCCGGCTCTACTCGCAGACGAAGCCAGTGCTGGTGGTAGGCTTCCTGATCCTCTTCGAGCGCGGTGAGGTCCTTCTCGATGATCCGGTTGAGAAGTATTTGCCTGAGTTCAAAGATGCAGCCGTCGGCCCGCAACGAAAGCCACTCTCGCGCCCGATACTGGTGCGCGACCTGCTCGCTCACACCAGCGGAATCGGCTTTGGACCTGGCTTCGGTTGCTGCCTCGGTTCCCCTATATATGTTTACATGTCATGTGTCCAGTGTGGCAGGCTTGGGTGCACATGTTTCATTTGTTATCGTCCATCCTGCCTTTTGGTTCAAGCCGTGCCAGTTGAACCAAAAAGGGGATTTGGGTGCACATGTTTCATTTGTTATCGTCCATCCTGTCTTTTGGTTCAAGCCGTGCCAGTCGAGCCAAAAATTTGCCGAGCTTAGGCTTCAGGTGTTTCTAACGCGGAGTTACCCGCTTTGCTATGGCAGATGAGCCTAATCTTTCGGAAGGGTATGGGTATCATACTGTCAGGACCACCTTGGCTACGCCGGCCTACTTGGATTGGCGGGCCCGCCTTCGTGAGCTACACGAGGCAGGTCGGAACATCAACTGCTTGGTGCACTGGAGTCGGGGTATTGAGATTCAGCACGTGCGCCTGTTTTCGAGCGAATGCCCGAGTGCAATGGGAAGTTGTCCCCGACACTCATTGCAGCCTGTTTGCGCCCAGAACCTCACGGAGGATGAAGCTCGTGGGGCTTGGTCGCGCCTGTCCGTGTGCCACGGGTCACACCTCCTGCTGGCCCTCCGGAGCCCTGTGCTCAAGGTGGTTGGACTTGATGCTCGTCGTGCTGCCAAACCGACGCCGGATCCCGTTCCGGTCGGTTCGCCTTGACTGCTCGTGCCCGACAATGCCGCGGCCGAGGTCAGGCAGCCTAGGACATTTTTGGCCCCTCGGCCCAAGCCCAAAGCGAAGCCGGCTGCGGATCCTCAGCCTTCGCCTGCTCCGAGTGTGGAAAGAGCGGATCCAGCTTTTCGCGGCGCTCTGTTCGGACGCCCCTACAGATCCGATCGAAGTCCTTTAGTTTCTCGCTGCATGTCTGTCCTCGCGAGGAATATCTCTTCTGATATCTTCGGTCGGATTTGTGCGGAGCGATCGCCAGCTATGTGGTGCGCTCCTCCGGTGATCGGAGCATCCGTTCGGAATGATGAAGATCGGAGATGTTCGAGTTTTGATCTGTGGCCGACTTCCACGTTGCGCTCGCACAAAAAGTCTGAGTGTGATCGTTGGCTGTTCAGCGAGTTCTCGAGCGGTGAAGATCTAGTAAACTGAAAAATATGTACTAAATGGTTCCCTTGAATCCTACCTAGGCTACGAGGCCGAGAACGACTACGAATCGACCTATGTGGGGTTGGTGAAAAAGGTGGATGCCGGGGAGATCCATTCTCTGGCAGAGCCAAAGCTGCAAAAGTGGTAGAGTCCTTCTTTGGGGGCTTGCGCCTTGCCCAAGGAATGGTGTGAAGAGCTTGCCAAAATACCCTTGCGGTTCCAGCCCGGCAAAGATTGGGGATACGGCTACAGCTCAGATGTACTGGGAAGGTCGGAGCTTTTTCCTGGCCCGAGAGCCACAGGGATGATGTTTTCTCCACAGGCTCATCGAAGTGCTCACGAAGAAGCGGCTGGATGACTTTCTCAAGGAGGAGGTGCTGGAGCCCTTAGGCCTGGATCTGACTCACCTTTTTTCTTGTGCTACCAGTACGAGGTCTGGAAGCCGTCTTGCCATGATGCAGGGATGGCCAACACCTTCTTTGCAGTTCCCGAAGAACAGGCTGCAAAGCTGGCGGCACTTTACAAGAGGCAGCTTCCAAGCTTGATCTTGGTGCAACCGGTTCGTTTTGCGGGCCAGTTGACTTCAGATACTTCAGTATGTGGATCCGTTGCAGCGACTTTGATGCCTGCATATGCCGTGCTTGACGGTGTTGCGCACAGGGAACCCTGGCATGGGAAAGCAAAGACCGTTCGCTTCGTGACTTCGGATGTGGGCGGCAGCGGCATTATGGAAGACCTGTCCAGGAACGTGCTGGCGAGGCATGCGATGTTACCCGTAGCAAGAGTCTTTTCCAGTGTTTACACAAAGACTGTGGCAGGCCTGAAGTGGACAAGTCATCCGTGCATGCGATGCCAACCTCTGTTTTTCTACACGGTGGGCCGGCATCGAAGGACGGGATCAGTGCAGGGATGAGAGCTGGCATCATTGATTCAGCTTGGTGGTCCTTTAACTGCCACTTCACGAGTTGCATGACAGTTTCGATGTCGCATGATGTCGCAAAGTGATATCTTTGATGACTTGCTGTGCGTGGAGGTCATACAGGGTGGTGGCTGCATCTGCAGTGTTGCAGGCAGGGCCGCTGCTGAGAATTAGCATCGTCTCCCAATCCTTTTTGCAGCTCGTCGCATCGCTCATTCGTTGGGCATATCCATCTGTAGATAGCTGGAGATATGAGCTGCGAGGTGGACTTGTCAGCAACTTTGCCGATTGCTCGCGGTTCTTCCAGATGATCGTCAACAACGGAGAGGTGCGCATGCGACGTTGTGCACAGAGTGTCGCCAGACGGGTGTCTGTAATCTTCCCATGCTGTTTCCATGCGCAGCTGGATGGTGTGCGACTTCTCAAGGCCGCAGTCCGGAGCCCAGGTCCGGTCCAACACAGAGTCGTGCCAGTTTCGAGTCGCTGGTACAGTAAGCGGAAGGGTTTGTTGATGCTTCAAGCCAAGACCGTGCAGCTGCTCGGGCGTGACTGGTTGAACGAGTTCACCACTGAGAAGCGGAGGTGCGGCATTTTCCGTGGCCAAGCGGCTGCAGCAACACCAAAGCCATGTTGTGGCACAAATGCAATGTTTTGCTCCGGAACAGGCGCCCGCTGTGGGTCTGGAACACGCCTGGCATTGGCTTTTCCCCTCTGGGCCAAATCGGCGTCAAGTTCAAGGGTGCCAACCGCCGAACAGCAGCTTGGCGTTCTCGGCATGCCAGACTGGCGGGGGCGGATTTAAAAGAGGCAGTCTCACTCGCAGCTCTTTTCAGGTGGGGTCGCAGCTGCACACCGTGCACTGGGGCGGTGCCTTGCTGGCAAATTCAATCTGCAAAACTAAACAGGGGAATTTTGACAAACACGGTCATGGAGACCTTGTTGATCCTCATAATGGAATCCATGCACTCGACGCAAGCAACTCTGCAAGCAACGCAACGAGGTGCAGGTGGATCTGGCTACATGCTCAACTGGCCTCATAGATTGGTCGTCACTTGCCGCATTGGCAAGACCCCTTGTACTTGCCGCGCGGTGATGTTTGTCGTTCTGCCCCGAGGTGCTGACCTACAGCGGAGTCGTCTTCGATACTGACACCCAGAAAACGATGTGGCGAGCTGCCTTTGGCTCACTTCGAAGAGGCGGCGCAAAACCAGCCAAACACTCAGGGTGAAGCTGTGACGCCGACACGCACCTTTCGCTTGCGGAGCTGAGGTGGCCTCAGTCTTTCAAGAGGAGAGCAAGGATCCAAGGGATAGCCAGGTAGTCTTTTGCTTCGGCTCGGATGCAGTTTGCTTGTATTTGCAAGCCACGTGAGCATGCTGTTGCCTTGTACACCTTGCCAGGACACCACGCCCGCCAAAAAGCGAAGAGTCTCGCGTTGAGCGCTCTACCGTCGGATTGTTAATGATGCCATGCCTGTGGCAGAATTAGTCGTGGGTTTGACTGCTGGAGACTTTGCACACGCGAAGGTAGAGCCTTCAGTCCGAATGTGTCAAAGCTGGGAAAGCAGCCAAAGCCGGCTGCAGTGCTGCAGTTTCGAGTTGGCTGCTGGGCATAAAACTGCCCTAAAAAATCACCGTGCAGCCGGGGAAAGCTTGCGGATCGAAGCTGTGCTGAGCAGCAAGAAAGTCCTGTCGCAGCGGAGATGCAACACAGGGCCTCAACAGGCTAAGCTCACGCAATCTGATTGCAGGTGCACTGGCGATTCAGAAAGGAAAGCAGGTGCGTACAAACAATGAAGCGCTTGAATGTCATGGAGTCATGGCTCCCTGCATCGGAACCTACCTAGAATCTACGTCGAGCAAGGCCTGTGAGACTTCTGCCTCTGCCTTCCCCATGACGCTGGGATCAAGTGAGCGCGAAGCTCAAACTGAATAGCTTTCACTCTGCTGCTTGGTGGCTAACGGCTGGACAGGCCGAGCCAGACTCAGTCCACTCAACCCGAAGATGTCCCATCCCACTCGGAGGAGGTCGGTCGAGAGTTTCGTTTGTCTGAAGTACCTTCTCTAGAGTCGATGTGTCTATGTGGTACAAGAATAGCTTCTTGGCAGACCGGATGTGGCCAGCTGCTGAGGTAGTCCGCCTAGCGCTTTCAACCTTAGCATCGGCACTGGCCCAGGCTGCAGAGTTGGAGAGTCGAACTTATCGTTATGTAGGACAGAAGCATGATGCAGGCCAACGGCGGGCACAGCGAGCGTCTGGGCCCTGCCCTTTGCGCGGCGCTGCGCAAGGAGGGCGCGACCAAAAGGCTCCTTGCCGCTCTGAGTGTGAGGGAAGTCAGAGAAGCCCCAGTGACGGGCTGCGGCCTGCCAGGCCACTGGCGGCATGTGCCACTGGCTCTCCAGCAGAGGACGCTCATAGAAACCTGTAGGGGGCATTGTGCAGGACGTAAGCGCTGTGTAGCGCTCTGCTGAGCTGGGTTTAGGGTGCCTGTCGCAGGATGTGGTCTTGGCGCGTGTCCGTACTCTGTCGCTCTGTGCTGTGGCCTACTGGCGCGAAGTGTCGCAGGACATCTGCATGAGAGACACAGCAAGTCTGAGCCTCTTTGAAGTGTCAGAGTGTGAGAGGACCTTGGGCGGGCTGCCTCGAGCTTGTCGCGCTTCCTTGAGCAGCAGAGGCTGGTGCAGCTGGCGCGAACGTGGGCCGGGAGTAATCCTGGTGAGAGGCACCTGTACTGGAAGAGACCTCCCTACAGAGGTGGGAGCCTTCATGAGCCCTTCTACGGCCCTTACCCGTACGTTGCCAAAGCTCCCGGCAGGTGTGAATCTCGGTGGCTGGCTGCTGCTGGAGCCAGGGCCCAGCCACGAGCTCTTCCAGACCTTCGGTCCGGAGGCCACCTGCGAGCCCGGAGCCCAGCTTTTGACAGTGTTTCTATTATATTATATTAACTATATTATATTATACTATATTATATTATGTTATAGTCTATTGTATCGGCGTTGTTTTCAGGTTTTTCGCCAAGGAGCCTATGAAGTAGGACTTGCCGCAGCAAGATCTAGGCATGTCGACTGAGAGCGTGACTAGAGAAGTGATGCAGGATGCCCCCTACAAGCCACCATTCAGTCTCAACAAGTCCTTCGTATCTGCCTTCGGTCCCGGGCAGCCCAAGTGGAGCATGTCGGTGCAGTCCGAGGTGGCGGCTGCTTGACAAAATGCGCAAGCATTTCGGCACACAGAAAACGATAGAGGCGATTCAGGCATGCCCGTCTGTTTGTCCACCCAAAGCGAACATCTTGGTTGCAAGCAAATCAGGCAGTATGCAGCTTATCGCTCATCATCAGTTTGCGCGTGGAGACGGCATACCAGTGCCTGACAGGCCCACCGAGCCAGTTTCATTTCAGAAGAGGACTTCCGCAACATCCGCTCGATGGGCTCCGACCTCAACGGAGTGTGGAAACGGGGGTCTGTGAAAGTCATTGCATCGAGTCTCACGGAAGTCGTAGCATCATGTGGCAGCTGAAATGAACGTTCAGGTTTCAATGCAGTGCGCATCCCGTTCGGCTACTGGATAGTGACTGGGCCTGCCGCACACTTGGTGTGTGTGTGTGTGTCTCTATCTCTCTCTCTCTCTCTCTCTCTCTCTCTCTCTCTCTCTCTCTCTCGCTCGCTCTGTCGTGCCCATGCGGAAGCCACAAGAACTCGCAAGGCTAAGGGCGAACTGTACGTTGGCCCAGGTGCTGGGCTCAAGAGTGTTGTTCCCTAATCTATACCTCGGCGATCTTTGGCTTACACTGTGCTGGTTGCTTAGCAGCTGCCTACCAGCTGCAACATGAGGAAGGACCTCATCGTTAAGGCCCGCATATTCAGGCCGAATGCCCATGAACACTAGACGACGCCAGGTAGGGTTAAGCAGTGTGGGTTCGCGGTACATGCGCTGCAAGGAACCATTCCGGAAATCAATCTTTGCCATTCTTATTGTGACGAAATGCGCGGGCCCAGGACTGGACTTGTTGGATCGGGCCCTGACTTGGTGCCAGCGGTTGGGGCCCAGTCCTAAGGAGAAGCTTCAGCGTCGCTGTGTTAAGGGACCCTTTCGGGTTAACTATAGTAGTATAGCATGGTACCACTCACAAACGAAGAGACTCTTGTGCTTAACATGTGCGACAGTATCATATGATATCATCTAGCTGATCTAGCTTGTTATGAGGTGATAACTCCATTGGTGGAAAGGTTATATAAATGTACTATAGCCTGGTCAAGATTATATGGTACACTATGAGGCCATAATATATAATATGTTAAAAGATCATGTAATATGGTGGATCATACTACAACATGAAATACGCGCTGCACTATGCCATATCTATCTATCTTTTATCTTTCTAACTGGCTATCTATCCACCTAGCTATCAGTCTGTCTATCCGTCTCTCTGCCTGTCTGTCTGCCTGTCTGTCCGTCTGTCCGTCTGTCTGTCTTTCTGTCTGTCAGGGCTGCCCCATCAGTCCAAGGCTCCATCCTCGGATTGTAAGCGTTCTGATTTAAGGTCCAAGGCTCCACCCTCGGAGTTCAAGGTTCATAAGAGTTCTGATTTAAAGATCAGGGGCGCCCCATCAGTCCAACGCTCCATCCTCGGAGTCCGAGGTCTGCAAGAGATCTGATTTAAGAATCAGGGGCACCCCCAGAAGTCCAAGGCTCCATCCTTGGATCCATCCTCGGAGTTCAAGTAGCGACGACAGTCGAACTAGTATTTAATATCACGAGTGGGGTGGCGCAGATGCAGTGGCAGTGCACGGTGGCGGTGGTCGTCGGCGGTTTTTGTCTCAACAATAGTATCAATGAGCGGAAACTAGCATGTGTTCTGGCAAAACTTGTCGGAACTTGAATACTGGTGTCAAGGTGGGGGGTAGTCACTTACTGGCAATATTGAAAACAGGCAGGGATGATGGTAGCTGGGCAATCGTAGCAGAAGCAAAACCCAGCATCAAGAACCAGAGTGGCACTTCCGGCATTGGTAATTAACCAAGGACGCAGAAGCTCGATAGTAGCACAACTCAGCAACGATAGATGATGGAGCCTTGCGATTTTGCATTTGCCTCGGCCTTTGGGCACGGAGGCTCCAGGCTCTTCTGGACCTTCATGGGGCTCCTGGTGGTGAAAGCACGGGTCCTGGATGGCTGGGTTCGGGCTGATGTAGTCCTGGTCTTGTTGCACAGGTGGCGAGAAGCCCTGTGGACGAGAGCGCAAGGCCTCCGGGAAGAGAGCAAGAGGCTTGATCCAGCGGGCTGTTGCTTCGTCAACAGGATTGGAGATGGGAGCACTGGCGGCTCGATGAGTCTATTGAGGCCAAGGGGGGCCTTATCGGCCTGCGCTTGCATGTTCAGCCGCCAGTCTCTAGATTCCAGGCTCTGAGAGTCATTGCGCGACGCTACAAAGGCCTTGCCATGACTTTGCCATGGTTCAGGATGCTGCGTTGTTTCGTTTGCAGCTTCGCAACAGTTTGATACGTATCCAGCTGCCCAAGGTGCTTACTTGGGCACAGCGCTAAGCAGCGGATCATGTTGGCATCTGTTTCTTCAGGCCACCCTGCGGTGTCCGGCATAGCCGTCTGCAATGAGCCCAGTGAGAAGGCTCCTCACCAAGCTACGCTGGAAGCGTGGGGCGTCCTCCTTTGGCCTCCAGGGGCCTACCGGGAGCCGAGGTGCCAGCTGATGTGCTTTGCCAGTTCTATGACGAGGCAGCTCTTGAGCTCTGATTGTCTGAAGCCAGCTGGGTCCCAGCCTTGTTCAATCGACGGAAGGCGGTTCGAACCATTCGAACCTTCATGCCGCCAGATGAAGTCAGCATCGTGTCCAAAGCCCAGCTCGGATGTGGGCGGGCCGCTGATGCTGTCTTCTGAAGATATACAACCTAAGGTTGCCAGTGTACAGGACAGAGCGACTAGATGAGGCCATGCCGAAGATTCTGGCAGCCGTTTCTGTCCCGCGCAAGATGGTGCTTTTGAGTCTTCAGATCTGGCGACTGTGGAACCGCGTCTTGGACGGCTTTGCGAGCCATGCGAATGTGGCCTTTGACCTCCACTTGTACCACTGCTCTTTGGCGGCAAGGTTGGCGGGGTGCTGAAAGACTGACTGGCGGAAGCAGGCTTTGGCGCTTGGTGGCAACGCCAAGGGCTGGGAAGTCACCTCAGGCTTAGAGAAGAAGGCTGCAAGCTACGAAGCTACATGGCGGTGTGGACAGGATGACCAAGCGCCATCGCAAGATTCTTCGGCGTGTGTCTGGCCCCAAGAATTCGACAGCTGCCTTCGGCCCTTGGGCTTCCTGCAATCCCGCAGAATTTTGCGGGATCCCAGGCCGGCTGTGGTTGGCGAGTGGAGCCTGGCACTACCAGACAGGGCACTTGCCCAGACTGACATCGAAGAGGCCACACGCTTAGTTAGGGCTCCCCTTCTCGTTCGCGTTCCTCTCGCATCCAAAGCGCCTCGCGGAGGCACAGGATCAGGCTTACAAAGCCTTTGCGGCCGCACAACTGGATGCCTACAGTGTCATCCTGAGAGCAGGTAGCTTTGTATCAGAGAAGGTCCTGGTGATTTCAGGCCACGCATCGCATGGCTGGTTTTTCTGGAACTGGTGCGACTCTCCAGCCCACCATCCAGGCTTGAATGGACAGAAGCCACGTGGAGTGAACTGAGTAACATGGTCCAGTAGGGACACTTGTCGGTCTTCAGAGATTTGTTGGGGCGCGGATCGCATGTGTGCATGCATGTGTCTTGTGCCAGTTGCAGCCCGTTCTGTGCAGATGGCAGCTCTAGACTCCGAGTCAGGAATGCAACACAACTTGCTTGCTTCCTCGCCTGTCTCTCTCAACCCTCCCCACGACACTTGCTGCAGACTGATTGCCTTCGCTCGTGCTAGGACATGCAGGTTGCGATTTGGCAATGCCGTGGTGCCACCTTATGTTCCCACTCGCGAGGAAAGCAAGTACTCTTGTAATCTTTGCATCTCAAGTTATAGGACAACATATACGTCCCTCGTCAGCGGACATGTCCCCGCAGTTTTCTTTCATTCACATCCGTTTGCAGGCTGGGATGCCCGCACGTGCTTTCAGCGTCATTGGTTGGCTCAGGCTTGGTCTGTCGATGTCGTGCAGTCGTCATCCATGCCCCGGAGCCCGGCGGGGATCAGCCCCCTGCGCGCAGGCAGATCTCTGCAAAAGCGGAGCCGGATGCCCAGCGTCCATTGAGAAGCCCCCCCCCAATGGAAAACGGAAGCCCTGAAGGCGCCGCTGATTCCTGTTGGAGGTGTTTGAATAGCACGCACCTGGGGCATTGCGTCTCCGACTCGAGACGGCGCCGTTTTCGACTGTCCCCTTTTGTCTTGCAGTTTCCTTCCCAGGTCGACTGAGGTTCGTCGTCGTTTGAGGTCCGCTTTCAATGAGGCCTCTGTGCACGCGAGAAGTGTCACAATTTGTTCAGATAGTCGAATCGTAGTAGCAGTTTTTGGCGGACGCCGCTAGACTTCATGAGTATTCCTCTTACAATTGGGGGAAAATTGGCTTGGGGCATTCATGAAGTCTTGCTATCGATCTCCGAAGCGTGGCATGTCGTCAATGTCTTCGGGTCTACATGGATTGGAAGATCTGAATGACCGAGACTGGACGACCTGCTGCAGGCTTTCAAATTCATGCATTCCATAGCGTTTAACGCCGGTGTCGCATCGGCATTGCCGAAGCGCCGTTAATGCTCTTCGCAACGACGAGGCTGTGATGATGTGTTGCAATGGGGACGACTAAGAATGGCTTGTGAATAAAAGCAGTGCAGAGTAGCCCCTGAGACCTGTGTCTGTTCTCAGCGCACATGCGGGTCCATCGTCCATCATAGTCCATAATGTGACAAAAGGCTGTCAAACCTGTCACCGAAGTTTCGGCTTTCCAGATATCATAGAACCAGCAAGACGACGTCTCGGCGACTTGCATGCAGTGGCTTCGTCATTTTGTTGCGCAGTTGAGTGGCTTTTGGTTGAAGATCTGCTGCTCCTTAGGCAACAAGCCTGCAGAGAAATGGCCTACTGCACTGTTCCGCCCACCATGCAATACTCGGCGGATGCCTTGGAAGAATGCAGCGCCATTCAGCACCTGCAGCAAGTGGATTCCTTGTATGATTCAGCAAGGTCAACGTCGATCCGTCCCAGATGATGCATCAGCAGACGCAGGTGCACGATTTTTCCGGAACCGCGGTCTCTCATCAGACCTCAATTTCACTGCAAGAGTTGGTTTCTGAGATCAGATTGGACATCTGTCATGCAAGCAGTCATGCCCAGCTGTCGTCTCCACTCTGGGCAACGTCTCCCAATGATGTGCCACCGCCCGGGGCTTGGAGGGCTTGTCACGGTGCTGCCACAGCCAGTGTGAACGAGAGTCACACATGCACGTGTCTGCACTGTTTGTGCCGACACACAAATCCTTGCATGTCTCCGGGGGTAGAGGTCCGGCGTCCAGTGAAACAGAAGGACAATAATAGGGGAATGCGCTGGCCTTTGCACTTCGATGCTGATGCTTCTGAGAAGCATGAGTCGCGTTGACTCTCCAGGCTCAGGCTACATCAGGCCAGCATGCGATAAGCGAGTAAGTACATTCAGGGGAGTAGAGTCTAGAGGCTCTACAGGTACAAGCATCGCGAGCCATGCCGCTTGTGGTGTTTTCTAGCGAGGGCTTCTGCTTGGAAGGCAAAGATGTGAGCAGGACGTATAATGTGTAACTATACATCAGATCTGCTGAAAAACGGGAAGCCGTCTGCCGTGAAGCAGACCGAGCCGAAACTTCAAACTGTGCAAGTCTGCGGGGTGGACCAGGTGTGCACACCACACAGGCCGGAAGCACGCATCGACACGCCGTGAAGCAACTGCGGGCAAATTCCAGACGGACTGAAACAAGCTAGCTCCTGTTTCTTTCTTCCTTTGGCATGCAGGCCTGCCCAGTCTCCTGGCGGTCCAATGCTGCTGCTGATGCCACCACTCCCAGTGCAACAGATGGGCCAGGCAAATGGGTATCTTCAGGGATGCTGAAGTTCTGCTGAAGGTTTGTGGCCAAGTGCATCTGAGGAAAAGCCACAAACCAAGCCACACCGCATGCGGCGTCTGGGTTATGCAGGGCCTCGCTTAACGGCTTAACGAAGTCCAACATGCCGTGTCCTTTGCAGGCCATGTCGCCGATGTCGCCAATTTCACCCTCCGCGATGTCGGCGATGTCGCCTATGTCGCCGAACCCATTGTCCCCAACCGCACTCTCCCCCATGTCTCCGGTGGAGTTCTACCCCGGCAGTCCTTCTGCGATGCGCAACTACCACAGGCAGGTATGACAAGCGAGTGGATTCGAGAAGTTACTATGATGAATTGTGTCCCAGCAGGAGCAACAGCGGAGCCAGTGCTTCGGACGCACCAACCAGCCCGCTCAACACCAGCAACCGCAGCTCCAAGGCGGTTCTCGGCCGTGGCAAGTGGAAATCAGATACGGTTTCTGATGTGGTTTGTTGATGCCGGTACTCTTGTGATGATCCGAGCGCATCAGCCACCAAGTTTCGAGCCCGAGCCACTGCAACATAACCCGCTGACACCTGCCAGGGCCCGATCTCCAAGCTGCAAGAGTTTGTGCAGAGCAGCAAGGAGAGAGCCTGAGCCGAGTCACGCCGGGCAGCGAAGCCTAAAGCTACAAGTCGTGGCGCCAAAGTCACTTTGCGGGCTTTGAGCTTGCACAGGTACACCCGCTTCCGAGCAGCTGCGCGGCCCCGAACTTAGTTCTCTACTTCTCAGTCTCCACAGGAAGTAGGTCCAGGCCCTATAGAGGCGCCTCGGTGTCAGGTGCTGCAATGGAGCCACGAGAATCGCATGGTCCGTAGCCGAGTCTTGGGTGCTTCCCGCGACTGCGACCAGCGGGCACTTAGTAAGGCCGGATCCAGCCTGCAGTTCCGTGCGACGACCTCCTTCTTGCTTGATGGCGTGCTAGATCCCTGGCTTGGTCTCGACATGTCTCGACTGTCGCACACCATGAAGCGATCACATGTTTCGGTCTAAAGGTCTGTAGAACCGGCTGGCCAAGAACGAGTGGACTTTGCATGATGGCTCAAGCTGCTGAAGCCACGACATGCAACATGTCAGTATTGAGCCACGCCATGCAGATCCTAGCAGTTGACACCTCCCACACCACCCACAACAAGTTGTGAAGCTTGATGCCGCAGACTGCGACCGATGGATTTCAGAGTCAAGGGACCGACCTCCCAGTCGACCCTGCGAGGCACGCGCGCGACAAAGGCTTGTCCAGCGTGTTGCTGGACATATGTTTCTGGCAGGTGTGCCTGCAGAGAAGCCCATAGAGACTTTTCTCGATGAGATCGCCACCGTGGCTCGCCATGAAGTTGTCAGAGCTGGCAAACCGTGGGAAGCTCAGGCATCGGGCGTACCACGGCCTTGTGTCCAGCTCCTTGCTGGCTTCCCGCCGAAGCCTCTAGAGCTTCCCAAGGATCCGGTCACGGAGTGCCAAGCATGGAGCATCATGCACTGTCACGTTTTGGAAGGACCTGTCGGCGACGGTTTCGTCGACCAAAGCTCAGCGCAGCATTCACTGAGTGCCTGTGGACTGTGGCTGCTGTGTGTTTTTCATTTCCTGAATAACATTCTGATGCTGAGGCTTGGACTGCGCAGCGGGGAGTCTCTGATTGTCCGTGAGGCCGTTGCCTCAGGAACTATCTGTGCAGAGTACCAGGGGGGGGCGCTTCCAGCGTGTCGGCGTGTTGTAGCAGAGCCACGCCTGCCTGCGAGGTAGAGCCCGAGGGTGCCAGAGGCATCGTTGTTCGGCGGGTCATAGAGGCTGACAATAGTTGCCTCTTCAATGCTGTTGGGTATGCCCCTTGTCTGCATGGAAGCATAGGCTAGAAGTACAAAGGGCACGGCCAAGGGTACCACAGCAGCTAGTGAGCAGCCTCATGATGTCTTCTCTGGATGTGCCTCTGAGATCAAAACCGGCAAACAGGTGCAACCACGGTTCGCAAGATTTGAAACATCCCTTCCCCATGTAGTCAGGAAGTGTGCAGAACTGTCGCAACTGCCGCAAAAATACGATGTGTATGCCTGCCCGTAGTTCCGTTGTAGCTGCAGCTGCAGCTGGGATACTTCTAATGGCTTCTCCCCACTTGTTGGGCCTGGCTTGCTTGTCTTTGTGTGTGCGTGTGTGTGTGTGTGTGTCGCATGCGGTCCGGCTTGAGTGCCACTGCTTGTTTCCCTCCGTTTGTAAAGCTTGCTGCCTGGGTTTGTAAAGTAAAGCACGTGGAATCCTGTGACCGCCTCCCTGGAAAACCTCGAAGTGTAGCTCCCAACAAATATGTGCACCCGGTGAACACGAAATCCGCAGAGATCCGTAAGCCCGCGATCCTGCAAACACTGGTGAGCGGGACAATGGTGAACCGGCGAATGCCCCGTTATCCTACGCGAAGCCACAAGGGAGCATGAGCTCGCGAACCCTAATGAATGCTTCTCATGCAGAGGTGTAGATTCCATGCAGAGCCGAGTGTCCGAATGCTTAGACCCTGAACTGCCGCGAACCCTGCAAGTCTCCAGCCCACAACTCAGACTTCTGGGTCCTAAGTCTTTTCAGTCCTAGGTCCGGGAAAAGTTGCGCGGTGAAGCACCAGCGCTGCGTAAGATTGTGGCCGAGCGAATCGCCGCAGATCCGGAACGCTACTGCGAGGCTCTCTGTCTGGCTGTTGGCTTGGGGTTCTGGTTTAGAAGTTTAGAATCGGAGTCACTAGCAGAAGCCTGGACATGACTGAACTACTGCGGGAAGCAGTGTTCCCTAGCTGGCCTGCTTGAGCAAGAGCAGATTCAACGTTGGGTTGCACGGGCGGTTGATTTTCAGAGTCATGACGAGTCATGCGCTGCTTATTGCGGGTTGACGTGTTTCACGACGAGTTGGACGAGTCTACAGTTGATTTGACTGCAGGGCAGGTTGGGGGCACAGTGGGGAGTGTCCTGTAGCCTCATACTCCTTCGCGCCAGTGAGCGAAAACCCTTCGTGATGTGAGAGCTTGTTGGCGAGGAGGGTTCGCAAGTCAAGGACCTGGAGAGTTGCCAGGTTCTTGATGACAGGCAGCAGGAAAGGGAGGTCCTCCTCCACCATCGAAACCCCCTTTGTCTGCAAAACCCGTTCTGCGGCAGCATGCTCATGCAAGGCTTTCCTGGCGAAGCCGAACGCAGCTGGGCATTAGTGCCCCGAGTATTTTGTGCCCTCTGAAGCTGTCTGCAGCACTGCAAGCTTCAAATCGCGTGGTGTGAGCAGAGGCAGATTACTGCGATTGGATCCTGCAGGCAAGTCCTCAAGTTGCTCGAGGGTCGGCTTGGGCTTGTTGGCTTGCTGCGTCTTAGCAGGGCTTACGTGTCGCAAGTGTGTGCAGCAGAGCGTTGTGTTTGCTTTTTGTCTGGAGTGGTGGCGCTGTGGCAGTGGTGAAGTGAAGGGAAAGTCTTAGGTTTGAATTGCCGTGTCACTTGTCAGCCAGTGCATTCAATGCTGTCGAGATGGCCTTGACACTGCAATTGTCCGAGACCCACTGCAGGCGAACAACTGGGGAGGTGCTATCGAGCTCAGCGTTCTAGCAGAGCACTTCCAGTGTGAGCCCGCGATGCATATGCTACCGTCTCCCTTCAGTGCTTGTCGACTGCCCTTTCATCTGGTAGCAAAGGAAATTGCTGCCTATGACATTTGCTCCATGCGACGCGATCTCCACGGCGAGGCCTCTTGCCAAGTGTAGACGGACGTGCTGGGAAGACGATGTAGACCAAGCCCCCGTGAACCTTCTGATCCCGCTCAGGGGCAAGGCTACAAGAGCCGATATATGCTAATTTACGATGGCATTCACTACGATGCTTTGGCGCTCGCCGCGGACAAGGGCGCACCTGAAGCCGCAGACTTCACAGTCTTTGAAGTCGGTCCAGAAGCCGATCTGGCCGACATCAAGGCAAGATCAGATGTACAATGTGCAAGTCTTCGCTCAACGGTTCCTGCACGAGAGGCTCGAACATTTGTTGCGGAGCAGAACAAGCAGCGGCAGTTCACGGACACTGGCAACTTCACATTGCGTTCCATGGCAGGGCAATGGGCAGCAAGTCTTGTCTTTGAGATTCCCGTGAAGCCGAGGTTGTTGCATCTGCCAGGCCGGCCTAAAGGGCGAGGCAGATGCTCGTGCGCATGCGAGCTCGACAGGGCATCAGAACTTCGCGGAGTACTGACCCCCACGAAACTACCAGAACAGAAGCCGCGACGGCAAAAATGCGCAAGCATCTCCTAGTGTCCATGTCCATTGCATGGCACTGGTCAGCGTGATATGCAAAATGGATCGTGCCTGAGAAGTCAATGTTTCTGAAAAGCAGGATGTGTGGTGAATGTGCTGCAATCCAGGCCACACCATGTGCTGGGAGGATGGTGGCCCTCGAAGAAGCAGTCGCAGCGTGCAAGGCTCCAAGCTGTACGAAGATCAGATAACTCAGGTGCAGCTACAACGCAGTGTGACCGTATGTCTTCTCGCGGTTTGAGCTGTGCATCGACATGAAGCCCTGTGATCTACGGACAGAAACCCTATTCTACAGCATGCAGCATGTGCAATCATTCCAAGGATGCAGCCGAGAGGGCGCTGGCATTCTTCATCGGTGTGCTGCTGGCTCAGGATGGTCTTCTGGAGACAGAGCCCTCGGAATTTTAGCGAAGTTCCAGTGGTACTCGCAGGGAGTTTGCCTGATGAGGTGTGGAAATGAGCTTACGAGGGGGCACGAAGGACACGCGGCTGGCCGCAAGTCTCAACTTGCCGAAGGCCGTCCTGCCGCTCCCGACGTCCCTCTTGCTCGAAGTACTCAGCACAATGTAGGCCACAGAGAGGAAGAGCCAGAGGAGGCATCTGGTCCTGGTTGTATGGATTGATTGTATCCCAACAGTGAGACGCCGCGCACAGTCTTGCCGGAGGTCTACGAGTTGGAAGACTTTGTGGGAGAACAACTGAGGCTAGCCTGTACACATTGAGCGTGTTGTCAAAGCTGGTCCTGCCCACAAGCCAGGTGGAGTTGCCGCTGGGAGGCACAAGACACGCAGGATCCTATCCTTGAGGCGCCACCGGAACCACAATAGCCCGGCCTTTGCACCTCGCAAGACGAATCTAGGCTCTGTGCAAAGCCACTGTCGAGTTCCAGTACCTGGGTGTGCCCCCTCGCTCAGTGTAGCCCAACAGCCGCCTTCGATTTCGAACGTAGCTGAACGCAAGTCGAGGTCGCATGTCTTTGCTGGCAAAGCTTGCAGCAGCAAGGCCTCGAACTTCAAAAGCTTGGCCTGGTGTAGTGGAACATAAGGACACGAGTCTTTGTTGACATGCTTGGACTTGTACGAAGGTGGCTGCGAAGACAGACACTGCCCGACGTGTCCTCTGGTACTTGCACTGCCCTGGCTACGAGCTGCTCGAATTAACACAGAGGGAGCGTGTGCTCAGTTGTTACACGGCGTCGTACACTGCCGCATTGCATGTGCATGCTAGCAAGGAACGCCTTCGAAGTTGAGCAAGACCAAGTGAAGACGCTGGCGCAGGCTCGCAGAGGGATGCAGGAACCGGAGAAAAAGACGAGTTTTCTCCAGGCCATTCCCGAGCCAGTGCCGGGCCAGGGCCTCGCGAAAGTGCAATCGCCATTCGCAGCCGATCCGATCTTCGCGCCAGGCACGTGGCCACCTACCCAGGAGGCTTTGAACGCTGCTGCCTGCAGCCCGAGCACGGTGGCATCGACGTGCGAGCAGGCGCCTCCCCCCCTGCGTCTCGAAGCGTGGCACGTTGGCCCTCGGCTGGCAGGAGATGGATCTCAGCCCTTGCAGCCCTTCGCCGTTGAGCCCGTTCCCGCCCCGGCGCTGCCTCTGCTCCTGGCTTGAAGTGTGCCCAAAAAATGCCGGATCGAGGGGGCAACGATCTCAAGCAGAGCAAGCTGCAGGGGGCTCGGAGTGCTCGCTGCTGTCGCTGCTGTCGCAACGTAGCCCAGCTGCAGAGGAGTTGCTGGAGCGAAAGACCACCGTGATGCGCAGTGCTCCCAGGCTCTCAGTCCAGCTGCAGCTAAAACAAATTCTCTATGAGAGGCTTGCAGAATCGCCTCCAGAAGATCTTTGCAAAGCAGCTGACACCTGGTAAAAGCGTCTGGCCCCTGTCTTAGCTTTCCAGAGCCCAGCTGTCTCACCACAAGACACGTTATGACACCCGACCACGTTCCGTGTTCACCTTACGTGAAGGTGCTGGAGGTACGAGAAGAACGAAGTGGATCACACGTTCCAAGCTTCAGTGTTGGGAGCTCAGCCCAAGCAAGAGCGGATGCACCCTAGCGACAGTCTCGTGAAGGCACATCTCACTCCTCGACCGTACCTTCACCGGTGGCTGGGCCCGGCACTCTCACCTTGGGACCTTAGAAGTCGCACTTTCCACATGAAGCCCCTGAGGCGTGCACTCACCAAGCAGCTCAAATGGAGGCCTCCAACCAGACAAACATGCAGGGTAGTCAATACCCGTCCGACTTCGCGAAGGCATGCAATCGCCTCACATCCTTCTTGGACAAGGATATGGTCTGCACTGGCGTGTTCCATAGAGTGCGAGAATCTTCATAGTCCATCTCAAGCGCTATAATGAAGTTGAAGGACTTCAAGATGTGAACGTCGGCTTGACCCGAGCTGCACCGCGACGTCGTCGCACTGGAACATTGAATGTTTGAACTTAGACAGGCAGAGCCTGAACCCGGCAGATGCAGTCGGCTGACTTCATGTTCGCGCATGGATACCCGATTCGATATGTGTCTACCACCTGCTGATCAGCTCTTTGATCGTCAGGACATCTGCCTTTTGCACGCAGGCTCCGCGTGTGCATTGCAGTGCTGCGTGACGAGCAAGAGCAACAGCCAAGTCGCCGGCAGCATGCTGCATGCAAGTCAGTTGGCGTTGTTTGCAGTCCCGAGAAGTTCGGGGTTGAACTAGGACCATAGGCAAAGACATGTGCGGAAGCGTACGTGGCCCGCTTCGAATATCAGCCGAGAGCAACCAGCAGAGGCTTTTTTGAATTGGTTCATGCGCTGTAGCTGAACGGAATTGAAATACCACGATGCGTAAGATCACTGTGAACCAAATCAGACAGGCACTGTTCTGCATGCCCCACGTTCCACGAATGTGGCAAGGGGGTGCTGCGAGGTATTGCCTACAAGTCCTACAGGATTTAGCGAAGCTTCTGTGCTGAAACGGAACGCGCAAAGTATCGTCGACAGACTCCCGCACAAACCTTGATCTGACAACAACTTTCTGAAGTTCCGTTTCTGAGCATGAACGTGAAAACCATGGGCCTCAGGCCTTTTGATTTTTGTGCCACCAGTGAAACCACTTCGGTGCATTTCCAGCACTGGGCAGCGCGTAGCACAAGACCCGCATGCTCAGGCAATTCTTGTGTTGTTTTCGCTTGAATCCTACTTCACACACAACCGCAAGGGCAACAAGAGGATGAAGCACAGGCAGCACAATTCTGAAGATGTGGGATTCCTTAAGCAGTTCCTGTTGCACCGCTTCAAAGCGTGGATCAAACAGAGCTTTGAATTCCTTGACCATTCGCTTGGCTCTGGCAAAAGAGAGACGCCAAGGCGCCTAAGTTGCTGCCTCTGTTTTTCGGAGGGCAAGTGAAGCGTACAGGGCGAACCAAAATCTCGGCACTTGGCCGCGGCAAAGCTTGCTGGCTGTGCATGATGTGTCCGAGATATATTCTGATCGGAAGCCTGCGACAAAACACTCAGAACGATCCACGGTCTCATCCTGACGTCGCGCACGGTCTCTTCAACATGTTATTTTGCATTCGGCCCACCTCTCTTGCTGAGCTCTTAGCTCAAGCTGCGCATGCACGATTTCATGCTGGTCCTACTCACTGCCCACTCAACACTGCAACTGCAGAGGCTTATGTGAGAAGAGTCAGGCATTGGTAGGTACTGACAAATTCTCACCATTGGCGCATCCGGATTTGTAGTGATGATCTTACAGCATGAACCAGCCGAACTCAGACCGCGTGCACAAGCGAGCCCGGCGCAGAGACGAGGACTTGCCATCTGCGGGGTGAGCTCACTGACACTCAGGCGCGCACAGAACGTGCAGAAGCCCGGAATCTGGGAGAGGCAAGGGGCTAAGCAGATCCTTAGTGAGCCTTAGGCTTTGTGTGTCGCCAGAACGGAAAAGGCGGTGACATTGGGATTGACTTGACCAGCAGGCAGCAGAAGCTGAACAAGAGCACCTGACTCGGTTCCGAAGCACCCTGAATTCCCATCGCCTGGATCCGGCTTGCCACAAGCTCCGAAGCGGTGCTCAGGTCTTTTCCGCCTCCTCGCCGCGCTCCTCGCACCGTGGAGGAGAGATCTCAGGGCGCGCTGCCAACCTCAAACCCAGTACTAGATGTCTCAATCAGATCCCCGCGACTTTGAGACCGCATCGATGCTATCAGTCATGCAGATTCCTGTCGAAGGTGTGTCCAGAATAAACTCCAGCAGTAGCAATGGCAGCAGCAGAAGCAAGAAGGGCAGGACTCACGACGGTCGGAAAGACTTATCGGCCTTCCAGCCTTTCAAAAGCTATGGAAGTTTTCTTTCCGATTCACCTGCAGACGTGAGAGGAGACTGCCGCTCTGATCGGAAATGTTCGAGAGATATCCAATCCACGCTGTCAGAGACTGCAGAAAGCTTAATGGTATTCGTGTTCAAGCGCAGTTTCAAGATCCTGGCAAGTATGTAGAACTTGAGCGAGAAGCTGCAAGGTGCACCCACTTTCTGAAGAACGACTGCCTCTGGGGCGATCAATGTCGCTTCTCTCACGATGCCAAGGCCCGGCGCATCAGCTGCGTCGCTCGTGTTTTCTGTGGTGTTTCCTCTCATTTCAGCTCGCCAGGCGCTCCGTGCTGGAGCACCTCCAACCGAGGACCCGGACCTGCGACTGCTGTGTTAGAATGCTAGTGGGAAGTCTGCGGGAAGGAGATGAACTTCTCAAATCTCGAAGTGAACCAGGCAGAACAGGGCTTGATCGGATTTTTATTCTTCTACTCTTTGTGGCTCTGTGCCTCAGGTCAGCAGCTTGGTGGAGATCCCAAGGGTCGCTGCCCCTTCCTGGAACCGTGACGCAACAGCTGGGTCAGCTTCAGCTGCTTCTCAGGGTCAGCTGCGGTCCTTCATGACAGAAAGCACAAGGCTCTCTGACCGCTTGCAATGGTATTCTGTTCTATTGTATTCTATTCAACTTTTTGGGCCCCGCAGGCGCATACTTGCTGAGTCAGCAGGCATCACAGAGCTGGAGTGGGATGCAGAACTCTCGCAGGCGTGTGTGCTGTGTCCACATGCCTCCAAAAGACTTCCGTAAGCTGCCAAGGCGACGCTCTCCGGCACTCCAGCCCAGGCGAGGCCGCGGCAAAGCAGGGCAGCTTGTCGACTGGTGCTCCCTTTAAGTGCAGGTTGAGAAGGCCGAAGAGCTCCTTCGACGAGCTATCACGCATTGCAAGTGGGGAGTCAACGAGGCAAAGGTGCAAGGCACCACCGGGGCGAGCTGACATTCTCACGAGCCTCCTCCGAAGCTTTGTGGCTCCCTGTTGGAGCCGGCAGAAGTTGAGTTGCTTCCAGGCCTTCTGGCGCAGGAGCCGCATGAGCCGAGCACCTGCCGAGTTTTCGGAGATTCCCTGACTGCGTGACGTTTTCCCTGGTGGACTGGAGGAGCCCTGCACTTCCGCCAAGCTGGTGCTTTCTCCGATGGTGCCGGGTCTGAGGTGCCTGCCTGGTGCTATCGAAGGCTTGTGAGGCACGTTGCCGTCTTTGAAAAGCAGGCAGGGCTCCTTCAACTTGGGCGGCGACAAGCTGCATGTTGTGCTAGGACAGCGCGTCATCACCACATATCCACAGCCTGCGAATTGAGTCGGGTCATGGAGTCACGGTGCATCAGACTAGTCCGATCTGAGGATCTGATGCCTCCAGTGATCTGATCATCAGAGGCGCCGTTCTTTCGAGGCCGGGACCGGGGCCAGGTCCCCTGCAGTGCGCCTTCTAGGCCTCTTTCCCCCCCGCCCTCCTTCCAGGACCCACGCGCGCTTCGACTTTCGGCTCCTTTCGGCGGTTTCGTTTTTTCTTTTTTGCTTCTTTAAAACCTTTCACAGTTTGAGACTCTGAGCTGAAATTTGAAGTGGACTCTGAGGAGCTGGTGCCAAGCCGCGGCGCTTTGTACATCGTCGACCTGTCCGGAACTCGTGTTATCTCGTCTTTTCAAAGAGCCGCCGGCTTTTCCGGCCAAGGTCTACGAACGGCACTTTTCTAAACGGGGTCCGTCTGCCCGGGAAAGCGAGCGGAAAGGCTGGCAGAAGAGGGCAGTGATACTGATACGAGCTGCAGCTCCGACAGAGCTTCGAGGTGGCTTGCTTTCATGGTGACGAACTCGCCTTCCCGGAGTCAACGACCGTGGTCGGTGACTCAACCATGCTCAGAATGGTTTTGACGAGGCTGTCCAGCTGTGGCACTGAGGCAAAGCTCGGTGAGTATGGCTACATGCTCAACATCCAGTTCTTCAGAACCTAGCAGCGAAAATCTTCGTCGAGTGGGAAATGCCCTGAGACCCAGAGTCGGAGTCCTTCAATGAGAACGATGGCTTGGCGCCACGGGGAAGCGGAGGAGTTCCCGGCAGAGAGCTGCGAGGCCTTGAAACCTTGAGGAGATGCACCGCGGAGGCGCTGACTCACAGGGTTCTCATAGGCCCGTCCTGCACAACTCTCGATGGTCGCATGGAAGGCAGCCTTAGAAGGCAAGCGTTCATTTCGAATGCCTGCCATTTCTGTCCTGACCTAGCAGCGCGTCAGGCGAAAACTGCGGACAGGGCGCTGCTTTCACACCCAGCCGCCCTGCGCGATAGGCTACACATGTACCTTTGAACAGCACCCACCCCCTCAGCCCTGAGCTTGCTAGCATCTCCAGAAGAAATTCAGTCAGCGCAACCTATTCAGCATGTGAGAGTGTGGCCCGACATGCCATCCGTGCTCTGATATGAATGGTTGCCGATCAAGTACCATGTTGGTCGCCTGAGCATGCGAAGCTACTCGTTGGCTTTGGGCTCGAAGTGAACGTCATGAAGCGTCGCTCAGCCAGGAGGGGTGCAGGCGAGGGGGGCAGGAGGCGTAGTGTAAGAACAGATCTGCAGCTTGAATATCCGGAATCTTCTTGGGAGGTGCACCGGCAGCTGCTGGGTTGTGGCTGATTGCATGACATGCCCCCGCTCTACGGGGCTTTCAAGGCACCGTCATGCGATTGTCTGCGGTTCTTGCATCCCAGGCGTCCCTGCAAGTGTTTGCAAAGTTGATGTGCAAGTGCTGCAAGACGGAAAGTGCTGCCTGGCACAGCTGCTGCAGACTCGCCCACTTTCTTCCTGTCTGGAGGCCCTCTGGCTGGTGATATGGCTTCATTTTGTTAATGGCCAGCAGGTTGGGCACGTCATCAAGCTGCAGATGCAACCTATTGTAGCGTTGATCATGGGTCATAAAGGACGCGACCCCAGCTCCTGCTGCTTTCGAGCGTTTTGGCGATGGTGAATGTGTGCGGCCCGTAGCATCGCGGGCAGTCCAGCACAAGAGCAACAGTGACCCGCGGGGCACTTCATCATCCGCCTAA